TGTGCTCCTTGAAATACAGCAGTGAAATAAGTGCTGTGTGATCCTTGAGCGTAGTATGAGTGGTCTGGAGAATGCGTCCAGGCTTTATAGGCGGGCTGCAACACAGTGATTAGCCGCTTTATCCAAAAATAGCCAGGCTGACCTTACTCGCATCTGTGTGATTCAGTGCGAGCGTATACATTTGAGGGTGTGTCCTGCATGCTCAGGAAACTCAGGAGTGGTGGATTAACAGAGTGCAGCTGGGCTCAGTGTTTACATAGCAGAAACAATGAAAGCCTGTTTGAACCAAACATAGATGAAATGTTTCTGGTCCATGTTTGGCCTGGAGGTGACTTTTTAAATTCTGTTTGGCAAAAAAAATTAAATCAAAAACAAGATAACTTAATGGATTGGATATTCTCTTAGTGGAACACTCATTTTAATTATTTTTGATAGAAAACCATGACAGAGCTAGATTTCTAAAGTTAAAAAAAGTTTTATCAACAGATATCCTGGCAAATGAAAATTAAAAACTTATAGGCATGCAGTTATGAACTTTATAAATGCCCTTTTATGCTGAGGCTATAATCAACCCATTCTTTGTAAGATTAAATATTCTGTCTGGTAAAATAATCAGAAACCCTTATAGATTGTTTATACCATGTTTTGAGAGTGGCATGTACCCCCCTTTTTTCTTTTATTCAGGTTTTATGTAACACCCAAATAGATTTAATAAAACAAATTCAATGAATAAGGAAATCCCAGAATACACATAAACAAGGAAAAAGGAAGGAGAATCTCAGGAGACTCTGGAATCACGGGTCTACAGAAGAAACAAAGACAAATTCACAGAAAACGGAATGTTAAAACACCGGGATATGATTCCTAGATCATTTCATTGATTAATTATAGCTAAATCAGTGAGGACTATGAAATGAGTAGGAGAAAAACAATCTCAAGAATCTCAAATCTTGATTAGAAACTAATTTGAATACAAATTCATAGTCCAATACTGCAAACTTTATAGTCCATATCTTTTTTATTTTCTTTAATAATGTTAATCTTCTTAAAAGTTTTCTATAAAAGCCAGAATAATTCATTATAGTCCTGTTGACAGATTGTTCTGTGAATCTCTGCAGCTTCTCATGAGTTATCATGTCTCTTGTGATTGCTGCTTTTTTACATTGACCTTTTGTGACGAGTGTTTTTGTAGAGCTTTGATGTTCTGTGACTTTTGGTTGATGGCAGTTTCTATGAAGGTTTGCTATTGTGTTATCTTTATTCAATTTTCAGATGATGGAATAAAGTTTGCTTTATACAGTATGTACCAATTTATATGTACTGTCAGAATCCACAACTTCTCCATCACCTTGAGCATGCTGAGCCCCCTCCTGTTTACTCTGCTGATATATGAACGCAAGGCAAGACAGCTCAGCTCTAATATCATGAAGTTTAAAGATGACTGAGCAGTAGTGGGATGCACAAACAATGATGAGCCCACATAAAGAGAAGAGGTTGGATAGCTGGTGCAGTGTTGTAGAACAATAAACTGCATAAATGTGAAGAAAACTAAGGAGATGGAGGTGGATTTCAGACAGGACAAGACTCCTCTTCATCCCCGTACCTCAGAGGAGCAGCTGTGGAGGTGGTCTCCAGCTACAGGCACCTGACTGTGTTTATCCACTGACCTCACCTGGTGGGCCAACACTTCCATCAGCATATCTACTTCCCCAGGAAACTTTGGAACGCTGGACTCAGGAGCTCAGTCTTGAGGAACTTTTATCGATGTGTGGTGGACAGCCTTCTCTGAAAGATTTAATTAGTTTTGACATTTTCATTGGTTTTTATTTCATTTGAACTTCTGATTTTCAATAACATCTCAGTTTTCATTTGTTTTCAGTATTTTTTTAGCTAGTTTTGTTTCATCAAGTTCATCGCATCTTTGCTGTTTTTCTCTAGGTAGTCTACACAGATTAAATTAAATTATTTACTAACGCATTTTCAAAGAAGTTTTCAAACATTTCTTCAATTAGGGCTTCTGTTTTCTTCATGTTTCCTGTGATTAAGAAAGGGGTAAACAGTCTGATCACACATCACCTGATCAGCCTGACTTTTTTACTTATAAAAACAAATTTCTATCTTATCTGTTTAACTTTTGTGTTGAGATCTCTGTGAAGAACTGATTGAAACAACTGAGACCTGTGTTGAAAGACCCGTATTGTATTGTGTGGTAATGACTTAGAAATGGTGGTTATATAACAAATGTTTTTAAAAAGGGGGGAATAGATAGCCTTTTCAGCCTTTATGACATTTACAGTTAGGGTGCTTTTTCTTCCTTTTTCTTGGAAAAAGTATGAATGGTTTGATTAGTTGTTCGCTTTTGCCAAACTATTGAGATCAAAATATTTTGTCCTAATTCCTACTCAGTGCATATTAGTCACTAGATGTATATCAGTAGATCAGTTTGTAGATCAGTCTTAAACTATTTTTATTTAGAACTGTGGCAGTGACAGGTCAGGGTGCATTGGGGCCTCTGATGATCTCTTGCATCCCTGACCTCGATTGGTGCTGCGCTGGTTTAGATGCAGGCTGGGTTTGGAAGGTCATAATATGGTTCTCCTTTGCTTGTGGTTCCAGTTCTTGTTTGACTGGGATGGAGGTGTAGGGATAGCACGAGGGTCACCTACAGCTTCATGAGTGAGGTCTTGTTTTTTTCCGAGCAAGGACCACATCCTACAGTGTTGGCCTTTAATCAGGTTTCCAATAGGATGTGTTGGTCCTAGCCCTTGGCTGTAGGGGCTACCTTGGGCATCCCTACCTATTAACCTCTCAGGGGTTTGAGCTAGCCTGGTTAGAGTGACTTATTTAAGTATGGCTTAAATGAGTCTGGAAAAGAGCGGATAAAACTTGATTTCAAAAGCAGGACTAACAGAGTCGGTGGAAACAGTTTAGAACTAATCAGATAACTACATCTGTGAAACAAATTATTGTAGAAAAAAAACTTCTTACAGCAACCAGTTGTTGAAATTTTGATGATATAAACATTTGGGGAGAAACATTTAGAAAATGATATCAAAAAACATTGTTCCCTTGGAGCTGCAGTCTTGATGGTGGCGACGGTGGCGTTGGATGTAGGAGTTGCCCTGAAATGGAAGGATTGACGGTTCAAGCCCTGACTCCGACTTTCAGTGTCTTGGGTAGACACTTCACCTGCATTGTCTACTGATGGTGGTCAGAGGGCCCGGTGGCGCCAGTGTATGGCAGCCCCGCTTCTGTCAGTGAGCCCCAGGGCAGCTGTGGCTACAATGTAGCTTGCCACCATCAGTGTGTGAGTGTGTGCATGAATGGGTGAATGAATGTAGTGTAAAGCACTTTGGTCAAGTCTCCTGACTTGAATAAAGGTGCTATATAAGTATATGCCATTTACCATTTACCATTGACTGTTGCATTATGGGCCTGCCTTCCAACTGACTTATACCCTATGTTAGTATATCTGCCTGCTCAGGCTAGAACTGAGCCTTACCCTCCTTGGACCAATTCACCACGTACAGTATGCATGTGTGCTGTGTAATACCGGGTATCCAAGTAAATACAGAGTCAGTGTTGCCAATGTCGATACCTGTTTTTTATATATAAGCTTGATGTATCATGAAACTATTGACATTTTTATTTTATTATTTTTACTTTACTATTACAAATGATCAATGGAACATTAACCAATCAAGGTGTTAATGCAATGTGTAATGTGTAAAACTAAAATCTTAAGATGATCAAACAAAATTAGCTCACCACAACAAATATTGGTTGTTTGTCTGAGCCAAGTGATGATACAAGACGGTGACGAGAGAGGAGGGGAGGGGGAGCAGCGAAGTGCTGTGACACAGACTGGGAGACTTTGGTGAAACTGTTCTGGGAGGTCTTTGCTGGTTGGTAGTAGGTGGTCTTACTGATGAGGGTTGGTGTAGGCCCTGGGTTGTCAATGGGACTGCTTCATGGGCCTTGAGTGGGTGGATCAGAGGACCTCTGTGCCCTCACCTGTTCCTTTTTGGCCTGGGGGCTATAGCTCCTTAATTCACTAACAAATTTAGTCAACATGGTTTCCCAAGAACACATTGTTGCACCAGGGGGTGCATTTGTCTGTCCTAAGCTGCTGGGGCCTTCTAGAGCTGGATCCACCTTTTCTTTGTTGAGTATTTCTGGTGAAGAATCTCAGTCATCCAGGTCATAGTCATTCCAAAAAAAAGCTTAAAACAATCCACTGGACCTTTTTTCCAAAGTCCAAAGTACCAAAGTTGGAAACAGAGTCCAGTGGATTGTTTTTAATTTTTTTTTTTTTTTTTGTTGGGTAATGTGTTTTGCAGGCGTTTTACCATTGTTACTACTCTGACAACTGGGCACGTCCAGGTGCCTACATACAGTCAACACTAATAAACCTATTTTTACACATACAGTCACTCACCCACACAGACCGAAAAACAAATCATCCAAATAGTTCAAAGTCATGCAAAGGCAGGTTACTATTACATCAATGTGTGCTTTTGACACTGGATCATCATTCAATTAGGATTCCATGTTTTTTGTAGAGCTAATCTGTCCTGGCATGTTAGGCAATCACCTTCTTTATATGATATGCCTAAAATGCAACAACAGTACACATAAAAAAAAAAGAAAGAAACAATATTTCATTCTGAATGGTGATACATTTTATTTTCTGAAATTAGATTTATGTATGTCAAATGATTAGCCTCCCCCTGCATCTACAGTACGTGACCTAGAGCCATTCGTTGTTTTGTTCTTTTCTGATGGTGCCTCAGACATGACTTCCCCCCCGCACTGTGGAAAAAAGGGGTGTCCAACCTCACAGATTTTTCTCCAGTTTTCAAGGCCTTACTATGCAGCTGTATGCGACTGTTTCAGCACGTACACCTCAAAATGAGCCGACATGGCAGTCAGCCAAGCAGGATATCCTCCATGAACATTGCTGCATTTTGTCATTGTTCTGTGTGCTTTTCTTTGTGCAGGAGGATGGAGAGCTCATCTTAGAGGGGTTGCTGAATATTTACTGGGGTCTTCGCCGGCCAATAAGACTTCAGATGTTTGATGACAACGAAAGATTTCGGCTTAACAGGTTAAGCAGTCTGATTCATACTAATATACAGCTGCCTTAATGGCCTAAACTAACAATAGAGGATCTTATGAGAGCAACACTCTGAACAGGGCAACTCTCATATTAGTTGGCAACCCAATTATTTTATTATGTGAAATAAAGATACAAAAAAAGGTTATAAATGAAAAAAAATAGCTTTTTTATATAATATAATTTAAACAGCAATAAACTCACTAAAATGGTTAACTTATTGTAAAGAAGTTGTCTCAGCTGCCACCATAGTTGTAGAAGAATAGACATATCATGTAAAAAAAGGGAACTTTGCTGTGCTATTTAATATTTTCTTTTTTTAAGTCTGACCAGTTCAGTGATGTAATTTGTTTTCTGTAATATCTTTATTGAACAAACAAAAAAAAAACTTAAAGATATTGCTAGAATAATATAGATGTTGTATTTTAACAGGATATAATACAACTTTTCCAAAACACAAAACAACCAGAAAAGGCTTGCATTAAAATCACATAATAAAAGTCTGGTACAGACATCAGTGAAGCAACAACAAGACGAAGATGACTAACCTGTCAAGGCGTGATCTAAAAGAAGCCCAAATATTTATATAAAATGTTAGATTTGATACAGAAATCAAAATAAGTTTTTCAAAGATTATAGTCACAGAAATGTTTATTTGTATGATATTAAAAGGCAGTCATAGCTGAGTGAAACAAAGGTTGTCTGTGGATGCTTTAGCCACACAGCTTAAATGTTTCATTAGCAACAAAATTAGTATTTGGTTGCTTTAACCTTATTAATAAATAGGATGCACTAAACATTTGGTTACCCTGAAATTATTGAGTTTTAGTTTGACACAATGAAATTTTACTCTTTTTTTAGATTTTTTTAGACATGAAAACTTGAAATGATATTAATACTATAAGAGACGGATAATTTTATTATATTTGTAAGTTCTGTGATACCCAAGAAACAAGCAAATGGCCTTAAGTGCTGAACAATTTTAAAAGTAATTTGTCAAGTGCAAAAAAAAAATGCTGATTGGGCACAAATTTAAGATTAAAATAATGAGGTAGATTTTTTTTTTTTTTCAGGAATGAAATATCTACTGTGGCAAAGCAGACATCTGCAGAGTCCAACAATAACTCCCTGAGCAGAGCAGGGAGGCCAGCTGGTGAGCATAAACACGTGCAGTCACCCCTTTGCCCCTCCCAACACAAACCTGCTGGATTAACATAGATTACACGAGGAAAGAGATTAAAACCTCACATGCGCTTCAATCAGCACGTCTTGTGGAAAGCTTGGCTCACGTGTTATACTGTATGTTATCTCTATCCCAGCTAAAGCATCAGATCAGATCAGTAACACATGATAAACAAAATTAGACTACTTATGCCCATCACAGTAGCTTTTATTAGCAGTCTGTTCAGCTTCCTGTCCCTTACGACAGATAACAGAGTATACTCTATTTTTTCTGATTTTATTTGCATGTCTTGACTCAATGAGCTTTATTTATCCCACATCCATTAGTGAATAATATAAACATTTGATTAAAATGTGAATCATTTCAATGACTTATACTTATTTTATATCTCTCTACTGAATTTTGATTTTATGATGTCATTCAAACCTCTGATGGACTATTTTAGAATTGTTGTAGTAATGTCACTTTACGAAATATATGTAAACAGATTAGAGATCTGGTTTAAATGTAACTTTTAGATAGCGATAATGTTGGACAAGAGGAAGAGGACTCCCCTCAGCTGCTGAGGACCAGGAGTGATGCTTCCTTCATGCGTGTTCAAAGGAGGTCAAACACCCATACTGCCAGAGACCTGCAGCGCCTGAGAACACACAGGTTCTCAATCAACGGTCACTTCTACAACCACAAGGTACAATAAACAAAACACACCCAATAAGTCATGCCCTCATGTTAATGTATCCCCCCTGCTGACATATCCCCAGGTGCACAAGGGCGGCGGTTTCCTCTGACTGTACTTCTACTAAGTTTCATAATGGTCTGCCCTGGGCCAGCTTTAATATGTGTAACACAAAAAAAGCTTAAGACAAAGTTACCCTCATTAGCTTCTACTTGATTCAGCAGGAGCTAATGTTGATGTTGAACACAGTCCAGCTGCAGATGAAGGGATATCCTTTCTCTCTTTGCTTTCCTGGCCAAAATGTCCGAGATGTTCATGTTCAGGAACATGCACTCAACGTTACAAGTGTACTAAAACATAGTGTACTTTACCAAGATGTAAACTGATTGATCTTTCTCTACATTTAGACGTCTGTTTTCACCCCAGCTTATGGTTCAGTCACTAATGTTCGCGTAAACAGCTCAATGACGACCGGACAAGTGCTCAACCTGCTGCTACACAAGTTTAGGGTGAGCAGAGATCCTCGAAACAGTTATTTCTATTCAGATAAATGATTTATAAAATGATTTATATTTGTTTTGTTTAAGGTTGAGAATAATTCTGAAGACTTTGTCCTTTACATGGTGCATGAATCTGGGGGTAGGTCTGTTATTACTGTGCTTTTTTTGTAGCTTTTTCAAGGTTTATAAGCAGATTTTTTTCCCTTTGTCTCTGACCTTTTAGAAAGGACACGACTGAAGGATGATGAACACCCTTTGGTGACTCGTGTGCTCTATGGGCCGTGTGAAAAAATCTCCAAAATCTTTATTACAGAAGTCGACCTGGGAGAGGAAGTTACGTACGATGTGAGTCTGTTTTCTTATCCCGCTCAACACAAATTATGCTTTTTTTTTTATATAATTTGATCTCAGCACAACAAAAAAGTGGGCCAATGATGAATAGTTGGGTTAAATTAGGAAACTGATGAATGACATCCTGTTTTGGGACAGATCTAACAATGGACTAAGGAGATTGAATATCTATTGTGTTCCTGTTGGATATATTCTGTGCTTTGAAAAAGCTTTCTTCTCCTTTAAATGTTCCACATTTTGCTATGTTAAAACCCCAGTCTTCAAATTTATGTTCTCATTTTATTCAATATATAAACACAAATTATTTTATACATATTGATTTGATGGAAAATGATCAAAATTTTAAATATTTATTTTTCTAATAAAAACCTAAACAGTGAGGAGTCCATTTGTATTCTGCCCCTTTTCTGTGATATCCCGAAATAACATCCAGTAGCATATTACAGACTAAAAAGTAATACTTCATCAAAAGTTTAGGAAATAAAGACCATATGTGTGTAATTAGTTTACATGAAAGGTTTGACACAATTGTCAGACTTCTTTACTTATCGCCCCTAAATAAAATCCAATGCAACCAGTTGTTTAACTAGTAAGCAGAGACCACCTGTGTATAATGTTATTCTCAGTCTAAATACAGGTCTTCCATAAAGGCTTCAGATGATTAGGAAATGAAGATAAGTATAAAAAAAAACAATGTAACACAAGGTGGCCAGCAGAAAGGTCAGATTAAGGTCGTGGAAAAGTTTAAAGCTAGTCAGATTATCAAACAATATGCAAACTTTTTAATTTGAACATCTCATTGAGTTCAACCAGCAACTGTTAACCCGCCATGATATGGCCTTCCATGTACATGAGCAGGTCAGCAAGAGGAGCGTTTATGACAGAAGTCAAGAGACCTTTAGGTGCTGCAGAGATCAGAGACTCAGATTGGATAAGGTGTATGCCACAAAGCTACATTTTATGGATAGGTGACAAGAAAAAGTCCTTTTGAAAAAAAAAAAACATTGCACACCATCCCACTTTAAAGAAAAGTGGTGACAGCATTGTGCTGTCAGGCTGCTGTTGTTTTAAGAAAGGACAGGAAGTTCAAAGTATATTCCGTAAAAGTTCAAAAAATATCCACTGGATATTATATAAAGTATATTGGATGATAAATGACAAAAACAAAGAAATGGAGGAAGAAAATCTGGATTTAGACTTGAGCTGAGGTTCAATGTCCAGCAGAAGACTCGCAGGACAAAGAAAAGAGAATAATCTAAAAACAGGAAAATCTTAGAGACTTTCAAAAATGTGTGGCTGTGTTGAAGGTTCAGCTTTTGGCATGATAATGACTCTAAACATATGGTTTCAAAAAGGATATTTTAGATCAATGCATTGTTTTGAGTAAAATGGCTTAGTCAAAGTCAAGATGTCAATCCAATAGAGAACTTCTGAATGATTTGGGCATTCTAAATATTGTCCCTTAATGTTTAAAATGTCATTTTGTGAGTGTAGAGTCCTATAATATCCTATAATAATATGAGAACCACACAAATATCTCCTTTACATTTCCATTTGATTTCTTTTCCCTTACAGGTTGCTCAATACATCAAATTTGAGATCCCTGTTTTGGACAGTTTTGTGGAGAAACTCAAAGAGGAAGAGGAACGTGAAATAATCAAACTGACCAAGAAGTAAGTAAATAGTAACTGCTTAGCAAAATACATTCATGAACTATAGAATTTACTGTGCATTATGTAAATCTAATACATGTCTCACATTTCTAGACTTTACATAAGAAAGGTCCAGCATGGCCCCACAAGTGAAATGGGAAAAATTGTGTTTTTTAATGTTTTTTTTATTAACACATAATAGCCATAATGTTTGAAGAGTCATATTTTGTTATGAACAGATTTCTAAAGATATGACTGGAGGTTTATAATACTCTTATATTTGTGTATGGTTCCATGTCAAAAACTCATTTATTTAACCCCTTGTGTACCCAGAGATTAATATTTATTAAATGGTCTGTGTCTTTGCTGCAACTTTATCATTTATGAATCTAAATTAAATCTTTATATTTTTGTTTATTCTGTGCAAAGGTAGACATGTGTTATTCTGCACTTCTGTTACCTAGTTTTTGTCCTTATGTCCTCTCTTTCGGATGTTAGCAATCGAAAAAAAAAAATCTTAATAAAACATTTTAAATAAATGTCAATCAAACTCATTTGTACAGGGACAGATAAAACATTTCAATTAACCAGACATTACCCACAACATATCAGACTCACTAACACTTTTAGATAACTATTTTCATTAATTTAGAATGAAATTATTCACTTACTTGTTTTATAGTAAACTGCACTTGCACTATTCACCATTGTTTGCTCCATTTCCCTCTGAGAACAGAGGAGCCAACTTGTTTGGTCTCACAATGAACCACGGAATACAATTGGTTACATTACAGCAGACTGAGCCTTCCAACCAGGGAAAAAGAAGGCTGCATACAAAGTAGTCTGTTGCTGAATTCGAATTCATGAGCTGTGTCCTCCGAAGGCCAGATTTTCGTCGGCCGATTACATCATAGCGCGGCGCCGAGGTCTGTTCGGATTGCAAGACTCCTCGCATGCAGCTGATACCAATGCAGCCTTCTTTTTGCTCGTTTTGAAGGACAGGTCCGGTGTATCCTACGTAGCCTTGGGTATCCCATGATTCATTGCAAGTCCAAGCAAGCCGGCTGCTCCGTGCTCAATTAATGAAAATAGTTGTTTTAAATGCTTATTGAGTCAGATATGTGGTGGGTAATGTTTAGTTTATTGAAATGTTTTTATCTGTCCCTGTGTAAATGGGTTTGGCGGATATTTAAGGACAGATTTGCACCATGTTTTTTCTCCCACACTGTTTACATTTGATCACTGCTGTACAGTACTTTAAGAAATAGAAATGTCATGAAAGCTGTACAAAACAAAATTTCATTTTGTATACACTCTGTGTATACAAAATGATAATAAAAGTTGTCCAAATCTAGGATTCCAATATATTTGCAGTGTTGGGGACTATAAATCTGATACGATTCAACTATTTAAGCTCCTCGAAAATGTTATTAAAACCCAGAACAGCAGTGAGAAGTTCGGTAATCATTCTATTACTGGGTCTGCATCCTTGGAGGATGCAGCCTCTAAAATCGAACACGCCCTCTGAATCAAAACAGGCCACAGTGCCATGCTATGATGTAATCGGCCTATGAATCTGGGCTTCAGAGGACGCACCAGTAGTTCAAACCAACTACAAGTGACTTGAAAATCACAGTTTGACAATGCAAGGCGCTGGTTCCCATGGGAAATGCTGTCTTTCTTCAATCAAAACACTATATCTTTTTTCCACTTTGGGTAAACAAAATCAAGCAAAACTAAAAGCCCTTTAGAACTGCTTTAATGCTGTCATAATCTATAATTTAATGTACTTTCCACCCATCTGCCATAAGGAAATTTGGTGACTAGTAAATGTTTTACACCAGTAGGAGGTTCATGGAGTCATATTGATATGATGTTTATATTATCCCGTAATGCAGCTAATACCAACTAAACTGGCTTAAATTATATTAAGAAATTATTGAAAACAAGTTCTGATGTTTCTAGGAAAATGCTTATGTCATTGAATTGATACATTGGTGAGATTTAATTTTACAACCAGTAATGTTAATCCAAAATACCAATAGAATAAACAGAAAACACAGTGGTCAAGCTCCATATATAAGTACAATATTCATGTATTTTTCATAACAAAGTTGAAATAAATTTAAAATGGGAATACAAATCTGCAATATGGCACGCTGACCTGCAGCCTGATTTTCATTCTTATAAGAAGTATATAACGTTTGGCACATGCAGTTGACATTTTAGGGGGGGAAAAACTCCCATACTCCCAGAGGATAGTTAATATTATGACTATAGGATTTTTTTTTATATTTCTATTCACAATTAAGGAATATTATTACCAGGACTCAAAGACATTACTTATATGTAAACATTTCTTGAACTCCACAGGAACTCTTAAATCCACTGACAAAAACCATACATACAACATCCAGAAGGACAAAATCCAAACCTGACCTAGCCTTTTAAGCAGATTTTACATTTTTAACCATTTACTGGACTTTAATAATATTATGAATCTTTCTCTTTGATATTAATTGTGTGTTTTTTTCATCCTGCAGGTACAGCGCTCTGAAATCTATGATACTGCTTCAGCTTGAAGACAGAGATCTTAGCAGTGACAGAGTATGACTGTTTGTGTTTATATGACATACTGTTTGTGAGTGGATGTGTGTGTCTATAAAAAAAGGAAAGGGTAGACAATACACTAATGACTGTTGATTTACTTTGGCAAGATTATCCGATACTGTAACGAATGTAAAACTGAACAAGTGCTTACCGTATATTGAAATTGTACTTTATAAACCACACACCTTTTCATTTTGTTTGTATATTTTGTATCATTCATCATTGTTTTATTATCACACTTTGTATATGTGCTTTTAATATTTACACATTTGGATAAAAATCAATTCTGAAAATATTTATAAATGATGTTTTTGTACTCCTTAAACATTTAATAAATCCTGCTGATATTTGTGCTGAATGCTGATGGTGAATCTCTCCTGGCACAAAACATTATAACCACAGTGAGTTCAAATCCCAAAGAATGTAAGATAATGGACCAAACACTTTTTTATTATTTCCTTGACTTCCATGAAAAGATTATCATTGTTTTTTTCTAAGTAACCTTGCCCGCCAGCTAGTTCCCATGGGATGTGTATGTGTGTCTATCAACATTACACAATAGAGGTATTCTGAGACGAGGCCATTTTCTTTTTCCCACAGTTTCACACGTGGGAAGGCTATTCTATTATTCATAGAAGCCACAGTCAGGTGACTGTTGTTAAAATTAGATTATTGTTCTACTGCTTTTAACACACATTTAGATAATTCATTTGGACTCTTTAGTAAAAACTTGAAATACATATATCAGTAGAATCAGTGATAGAAATGTCCACAAGATAACCTATTTGAAATCAGACATGTTTTACAATATATAAAACAACCTTTTTTTTTACTCACTGGCATCAAATCAGACCAAGCTTTTGCTGTTTGGAACATTGATCAGAGTAAATGCAGAACTACGTGTTCTTAAATGAGGATTTTATTACTTTAATGAAAATCACAACCTCACATAAACTAAGCGTTTAGACTTTTTTGTAGGTTATTTCATAGGTTCACATTATTTCAGTCTGTCCAGATAACTTAAAACGCTTTGATCATCTGTGTACACAGATGATGACTTTGGTATCCCTGCAATAAAGATGTGAAATGCATATCAACCTCAGAATGGAAAAATCAACTATGAAAATGAATGATTTAAACACCTATGCCAAGGCGGCCATAATGGTCTGCTTTTGCAAATCTGCTGGGCTATCTTCCAGCTCTGGGACATCAATTCCCAGAGCTGTATTCACAAAACAGAACACAAAAAACTAAAAGACAAAGCTCTCGATTTATATCTCGGTCAATGTTACCACCCTCACCTGTGGTCGTGAAATCTGGACCATGACAGAAAGAATTAGATCCTGGATTGCCGTTAACGACCGACCCTCAGAATCATAGACAGGTTTCAGATATTACGGGCTAACGATGGAACCAAACGACCCATTCATCGGTTACTATTTGCATGTTTCCAAGAGATACAAGGCTTTGTCTATATTAGGCTCAAACTCATTGCGGATCCAGACATTTGAATTGAGAAAGCTTCCTGGAGAGATGGCGAAACGTCTTCAAATCTTGGAAACCAAGTCCAGTGGATATTTTTTGAATTTTTACGGCATGACTATGACCTGGATGACTGAGAACCTACATCAGCATCTATACCTTAACTGTATTGTGGAGGATTTTCACAAATTTTTTAAAGACCTGTCCACTCCACTTTATGTAGTTTATTTAAACACTGCTTTTTATTTTCTTGATAACCCTAAACAAATTTTGAATGGAAGAAAAACCTTTTAGTATTTTCCAAGTGGTGTCTGGAACAACAGACACCAAATGGAAACATCTCTGGACTTGGGTTTTCTGTTTCTATCTAAGGGCCCTGTCACACCTTGACAATTTGGACAGCGTATGCCTGACGTCTTGCATAAATAGATTTATTTGATCGCTGTATTAACCTAGCTGCTGTTTCACACTCACCCTATGATTGATTGATTGATTGTCTTTATTGATTGATTGTCTTTATTGATTGATTGTCTTTATTGATCACAGTGGAGAAATTTACTTGTTACATACTATGATGCGGATGCAGTCTGGAGGAGTACTGACAGTTGAGCCTCCTTTCATAACAAAACGCTGCCAATACACCATTAAACAGTAGCTGTAAGTTAGAAACACGTTCAGCGGTCGTCTGGAACATATCAGATACATTGATATGCGTTGGGGATAAGTTTTTGATAAGTTTTTGCCAGATTTTTCGTACATCAGGCATAGGCTGTCTAAATCATCAGAGGTTTGACAGGGGCTTAAATGGAGAAGCTACAGCATTCTGGGCAGGTAGTAAATGCTGCAGGTTGATCAAGTAAGAAAGTAGAGTTACTCTAATGTCAAAGCCGTATCTGGTCCGTGAATTGTTTATTCATTGCCCCGTGAATGATATTTAATTACCATTAGAACCGGCCCACAGGCCACGGCCGTTTGTGCCTGCTGCTATAGTGTTGTGTTGCATGCACCAACACTACATTCCCAGTCAAAAACAAGATTGTGTTTTTATTTTCTTTTATTTAAATTTTTTGGTAGTGCTTTGCATGTTTGGATTGTTTTGGTCTTTGCTTTTCCACCTTTAACAATCCAAGCTGGGCTGTCGGTGAAGTGCACTAACTGCACTATGCAACTGCTGCGTGCAGGTGTCAGCAGAGGCTGATTAAAGCCAAAATGAAAGGAGCCTGGATGGAGGGAGGGGCGGATACAGGTAAAGCCAGGACATATAACTTTGGGTTTGGTTCTGCTACAAGCTTTAAAATTAGACGGCCAGCTTCCCCCAGATATTTATTACTTAAAAAATAAGTAATAAATAAATAAAACTGAAGATTATAAAAGACAATAAATAAACAAGGTAATTATAACAAAGCCGAATAAATAAATCAGCGCTCCAACTGACTATATATTGCTCTAATGTGAGCCAAAAGAATTGACAAAGGCTCCTGATAGATGTCGAAACGTCTTCAAAAAACTGGACGAGAGTCCGGCTTTTAAGCCCGTTTATGTTTAACCTTACTATTAACATAGGCGTTTTATGGACATGAGTCATTTTTTACAACCCTTCAGCCTTTGGTCGGACATAACAGGTGCAGCTAAGGGTTGTTTTTCATCCATTCACCTCTAGAACTCTTTCCAAGAAAGCTAGATTCTATATCTTAATAGCTCATAAATCTGTAAACTTAAAGTGCCTGCTGCCTGTGAGAACAGACAGGCACAAAGTGTGGAGCTACATAGAAAACACTTTACAGAATTTTATCTGAAGTAGCTATGGCTACAAATGTGGATTCAAAAGTAGTGATAGTAGGCTGTGGGATAGCAGGGATTGCTGCGGCTCAAAGGCTCCTTAAATCTGGGTTCTCTAATGTCCGGATCCTGGAGGCGACTCAAAGAAGTGGGGGAAGAATTAAGACATGCAGACTGGGTAAGAAGCCAAGAAAAAAATTCATTGGAGACTGTTAAATAAAGCAGCAAAATATAGCCCATGTATTATGTATGTATGTATTATATGTATGTATATGTATGTATGTTTTATAATAGCCTTCTGTAGTCTTATTGATAAATATCTATTTCTAAAAAAGGAAAGTCCCTGAGTGCCTTTATAAAGATTATTTGTTATTATGAACTGCGATCCTACATTTTATTTGCTTCAATTTATATGATTTGAATTCACAAAAAATAATTAAAATGAACATCATTACTCTGTTACAGTTACTTAATTCAAAGATTAGTATTTATTTAATGGTCTGTGTCTAATTGTATCATTCAATTCCATATTGAAGCTTTTGAAATATTCTATTTTTGTGCAGAGATAGTCATGCTCTTCTGCACTGCCTTAATGAAGTGTAGACATGTTGCAAGGACGTTTTTACTGCATATGTTTGTTTTTTAATGCCCTGGATGTTTGCCATAACAAAAAAGGTGGAAATCAAGTGAAAAAAATCGCAAGAATTGTTAATCAAAGTTCAGTTTAAGATTTCAAAAATGGAGACACTCTTGTGCCAAAAGAATAAACTACCACTTGATGACTATGATTATGGCTTAAGGTTTTTGAGTAAATTATTGTTCTGTTTTTAAAAAACAAACCAATTCTGTAGGTTTAACAGTTTAAATATAATTCTTTCACATCTTTGCTTTATTAACACAGGTAATACCAGTATAGAAATCGGTGCAGCTTTTATCCACGGTCCATCTGAGGAGAACCCAGTATTTTGTTTGGCCCGTGACTATAACCTCCTGGACCCTAAATGCCTCACTCCAGAGAATCAGTCTGTAGATGTTGGTGAATATCCTCCTCTGGTTCCCAACTGGTTCACCAGCTCAGGTGAGAGAATCACCTGTGCCAATTGACATAAAAACTATAGGACTCTGCAGAAAAAAAAAAATATATATATATATATTATTTTGGTGAATTTCATGAATCTCAGGTCAGAAGGTGAATCCTGAAAGCATGAATCCCGCGCTGGAGCTGTTTCATGAGCTTCTTCAAAATACTCCGCAATCTAAGACTCACAAACCAAGATCCTGGCCAAGTGTGGGGGATTTCATTAAATCTGAGGTAATATTTTATACAGGGAAAAATAATATGTTTTTGTTGTCCAAAGCAGGAAAGAGTATTAAGGTGCTTAGATGTTTTAAGTTCTTTTTCATCCTTCATACAGGTACGAAGGCGAGCAGCTAAGAGGTGGAAAGATAAAGATAAGAGCACCAGGAAGCTGCTTCTTGGTGCCATCAGTACAATGTTAAAGGAGGAATGCTGTTCAAGTGCTACAAACTCTATGGAGGAGCTGGATCTAGTAGGATTTTCGATGTACCAAAGTATCAAGGGAGTAGACTGCACATTTCCTAGGTTTGTATCTCCGGTGAACGTTAGTTGGCTTGTAAGTACCAATGATGGCGGATAAAAAGCTATGCATCTTGATTGACAGTGACAAAACATCTGTGATATGCTTTACATTGAAGCCAGTTTAAGAAAAACCTGGCTCTGATTACTGGGAGGAACTAAAGATGCTTATTTTTGTTATTTTAATAGTGTGTTATATTCTACTGTCATTCCATACTGACAGTTTTAACTGACGTGTATTATATATATCTTTACAATAACTACCTATTGCACCTTCAAGGGAAGTAATTAAAGTTTAGCAAATGTTTAATGAGGAAACCTTCATTCCCAGTTTCTCACTATGTCTCATCTATAAAATGAAGCCAGGGGAGTGGTGGCTTAGTGCTTTGGGCATAGAGTTTGTAATCCTGCGGTTCTGAGTTCGAAAAGACCCCACACTGCTCACCGGGCCCCGCACAATGGCAGCCCACTGCTCCCCAATGGGATTGGTTAAATGCAAAGAGTTAATTTCATTGCTCTGTACTTGTGATTGTTTCTAATCTCTTTTTTTGTGAAACCAATTCCAAGTAAATGTTATCCAATAGCCCTTTATAAGATAAACATGTCAAATTGATATTAAGAATAGAGCAAAGGCAAGATTGCATAACACAATCCTATAGAAAAAACTGATTCAGTTACAAAATCACAATACAATAGTTAAATTAAAATCCATATTTTATTAGTTTGCAATTGTCTATCTAGAAGCTGAATAGTATAAAATTGAGTTCTCAGCAATCCCTCTTAGCATAGATAGCAGTCTTGTGCTCTGCCATGTTCACTCCTATTACATCTAATGATTTTAACTTTACACATTTCGTCACTTAGTTTCGTCAGTCAGTTAGTTCTATAGTTATTATCTGTACTCTACGAGCTGCCCATAGGTTCTATGTATAATTTTTCTCTGCCTGAGTTGTAGCCCGACTGATTATATCCATGCTATTGTCTTGCAGCGGCACAGAGGACTTAGTAAGCAACTTAATGTCAGAGCTCCCGGCTGACTTGGTGTCTTACAGTCGGCCTGTGCGCTGCATTCACTGGAGCAACAGAAAGAGCGGAGTGAATGCTGTGGTGGTAGAATGTGAGGATGGGGATAGAATCCCTGCTGACCATGTTATCGTGACTGTGTCTCTAGGTGGGCTTGTTTCCATACACAATACACATAATCACTATATCTATATAAATGGGAAAGGGGATTTTACAGTCAACCTCTTTTGTTTACATATTTAAGGCTTTGTGATCCGTTTTAACCAGATATACTTTTTTTTTTTTTTTTTTTTTTTTTTACAAATAATCAAAAAGCTTTTAACATCTAATCAAAGCTTCTAAAAACTATATATGTTTTGCTTCTTTTTTTTCATACAGGATACTTAAAGAAGCACCACTCTACTCTGTTCTCACCTCCTCTTCCCGCTCAGAAGCTTCGGTCGATTCATAAAATAGGATTTGGAACATGCGACAAAATCCATGTTGAGTTTGAATCCCCCTGGTGGGATGCTGACTGTGAGATCATCTATCTTCTGTGGGATGACGAGGTTTGTAAAACCACTCTGTTCAAACATCTAAATTGTATTATTTATAACAAAAATGTGTTTTACTTTTATTTCCCTTTTAAAATCTTGAATAATTCTATAGCATAAAATGGTTTTTCTTATGTTATTTTTAAATTTTGTTTTCAGGAAAATATTTCAGATCATGTGTTGGAAATAGGTGAAAAGTGGATCAGGAAGATCTCCTCGTTCACTGTGGTGAAACCCTCTCAAAGGTCAGCAACATTGCATGAAAAGCGACATTTAACAAGTCAGGACACAAACAGTTACATTACCAACCTTATGAACCCGACAGAGGCAGCCATGTTCTCTGTGGTTGGATTTCTGGACATGAGGCAGAGCATATGGAGACGCTTCCTGAGCAGGAAGTCAGGCGCTCTATCACCGAGCTGATACATACTTTCACAGGTGATCCTTACATCTTATCAGAGAAAAATAAGAGCCATTACTCTTTTATTTTCCTCATAGGACTTTAATAAAGAAAGTTAGTAAAAAAAAAAATCACCTAATAGAGTTTTACATTTATGGTTTTTGCAAGCAATTTAAAAAAGACTTTTTTCATAGGGCTGTGACCAATTGTCACATATTAACCCAATGTGATGTTCTCTGTAACGTTACAGTTTTGTGAAGTGCATGGAGCTTTTTACAGCGCAATACTGGAAATAAACCTATTAAAGGTGGTCATAGACTATAGAGTGGTGATGAAGTTCACCATCCAGTAGGGCAGCTCTAAACACATAACCAGAGCTTCAGTAGAGGGTTTTAGATAAAAGCCTTTTCATGCATTAAAATGACCAAGACTGAAACTAAATTAAGACTTAGAGTAAACTAAGTCTGGGGTATAACAGATATAAATGTATGCCCTTGAAATGAAAAGGAGTGGAGACATAGCTCAAAATAAATGCTAAAAGAATCATTTTGAGTTCTGCTGTGTTGGAACAGGAGGAATGAGTACAAATACAAATCCTAGTGATTACATTTTTATTGGTTTACTGATAAAGTGACCCTCTCTCTTTACAGTACATCCACTTGCACATTTGTGAATACAATAACAAACAACTTTAAGTCATGTCTGGCATTCTAGTATTTTCTTATCTATTACATCTAACTATTAGCCACACTTTTCAGATTGGTACATTGACAAATAAACATATTCATAGAAGGCTTGTTCTTTCATTGCTGCTCCACTTCATAATGATATCTTACTATAAGTTTGTATGTTTTAAGACATTTAAGTGTCTATTAACAAGTTCAAAGGGAAGAATTAATGTTAAATAGTTTGGCTCTATGGTTTCCAGATATAAATTAAACTTGTATTATCATAAAGTATGTATTTAATTGCTTATTATCAAACTGACTGTTTTTAGCATAATATTCTGTGTTTAGGAGACCATACCATCACACCAAAGAGAATCGTGTGCAGCCGGTGGTTCCATGATCCCTGGACGTTAGGATCCTACTGTCATCCAGCAAACGGCTGTTCAGCACAGGATTTTAAGAACATGATGGGACCCCTGCCTGTAACAGGAGAGCAACAGGTTCACAGATTTACCTTTCTAGATAATTAAAGCTCATATTTGCTTAAAAAGTATTCATGCAAAAAAGACTGAATAGTAAACTGTTATTTATGGACCTTGTGGTTATGCTTCAGGCCCTACAGGTATTGTTTGCTGGAGAGGCGACTCATCCCAGCTATTACTCCAGCCTCCATGGAGCACTCCTCTCTGGGTGGAGAGAAGCTGACAGACTCATCTCTCATTATTCTGTCACATGTCCCCATCCTTCACAAAAGATTTAAACCTCCATAGCATAAAATAATATTTTTTATCCTTTTAAATTAAGTGAAACATCAATATCATTGTTAAAAGAAGGAACTCTAATCTAGTTTTCAGAACACACCAAAGCCACACATTGTAATAAACTGAGGCTTTGATAAGTGGCTAGAAATCTGTAGCAGGTTACAAATTTTCAGTAGGTACACCAATAGGCAATTAATCTGACTGTTATTTGATGTAACTTGGTCAGTGGTTCGATTCAAATGTTGATGGGGAAACAATTTGTGAATGGGAATGTCCACAGGGAACATCTGTAAAAAGTTTCCTGTTGAGCAGACAAGGCTTACAGGAGCTGTAAGGACAAAAAAAAAAAAGCTTTAAAATATACAATGAATTAACTAATAGAGTACATCTGTATTAAAGCAGAATATCAAAATAAAATGTCTGTTGTAGTAGTGTTGTGTTTTTTTATTATTAATATTTTACTGGTACACTATTGTCGTTTGAGAGGTTTATTTCAGCAGAGCTATAAAATTAATGTTCTCTACAAAGAGATGATTAAATAATGTTTCTATATTAATCCGGTGTTTGTGTTGTTCTTTTTGTCAGTGTTGTGTGTGTGTGTGTATGTGCGGGGGGGGGGGTCATATTTACTGTAAAGATATTAAATTTTGGAAATATAACAGAAAGACAAAATAGGCACTTGTTGATTTGCTCAATAACTTTGGGAAATTTTGAGTTTAGAAAGGCTTTTATTTTGAAAGCCTGAACCAGAAAGCACTTCCGTCGGTCAGGAGGAAGTAGGAAGCTGAGACTTTTCAGAGGAAGTGTGCCGCTATGGCTGGGAATAGGAACGTAAATATTGTAATTGTAGGCTGTGGGATCGCAGGCATAGCGGCAGCTAACAGGCTTGTTAAATCTGGGTTCAATAATGTCCGGATACTGGAAGCGACCGGAAGGAGCGGGGGGCGCATTAAAACGGGCAGATTAGGTGAGTCTGATGGACACAATACATAACCAATCACGATCTAATTTAAAGACGATCATTTATTTCACTCGGTTCTTTAAGTTGAAATGGGAGAATTTAATGTCCTGAGACACATTAATTTTTTGAGGTATTGTAAATTTACCCTGAAATTGGCTGACAGACCACTCAGTTAAAGCCACAGGTTGCAGGTGGATGTTTTTAAAATTAAGATTTCGCAATATCCCTTTGCAGAATTAACCTCTATAATGAAACAAGAAGAACATTACACAACAACATTGCAAAAGTTATCAAAAACATGTCAAAATTTAAATATGACTTCCCTACGACTTTATATATATAGAAAAAGTTCACAGAAATCATATCACATAAATCAATAACACGCATTTTTTATTTATTTATTTTTTGGGAGCGCCTATACTTAGAATCACTTTTTTCATTAAACTATAAAATGTATATATAATGTATGTGGTGGTAGTTAAAAGATACTAGTGACAAGTAATGTAACCTGCCTCCCAGGGCCTGTAAATCCACTACTGTATGGGGGATGAGGTGCCTCCCCACTTAAACAGAGCAAAATGTTTTTTTGTTTAAAGAAAAAAAGTGGAATATACAGAAAATCACCTCACTGTGCCCACTTGGGTTATCCCAACTTGTGTTTTATTTCTTACCCACCTACAGTGTCTATGTATGAAACTGTGTGTATGATTCAGACTAAATAAAAAAATAACTGGAACTAGTTTGAGGAATGGATTATTTTTATTTATGAGCTTGGTCAATATTTTGATCTCATCTGACATGGCAGAAAATAGTTAAAACACTTTTTCTTTTTCTTTTTTTTCTTTTTTTTCTTTTTTTTTTTTTTTTTTTTTTTTTTTTTTTTTTTTTTTTACTTATGTCTACTTAAAGGTTCTTAGAGCAATTTTAGCTCCAGAAAACTCATGGAAAAAAACTTTTCTTTCATCACAGTGCATTCCTCCTGGCTTTCTGTACATACACATGTACAATTTACTGAATTTATTCAGAATGGCTGTAAAGTTTGTTTGGTGTGTTCTTTTTAAAGTCTTGTTTAAATGGAGATTTTTGGAGATAAATCCTAAAAGGGTTTGTGCATCCTGCTGTATTAGTCACATAAAGACGTGTGTGTATAAAGGCTTTTTGGATGTGACATGTCACTGATTCAAATCTGAAGGACACCAGGGCTAATTTCTACAAGTTGGTCTACATGAAATGGGCTCAGATCCACCTGTTTCCGTCTGTTTGTTTCTCATGATCTATGCTGTTTCTTCTGTAAAACATTATTCATAATTTCATAAGACATGACCTTTGCATTTACATTGCTGTTCTTGGTACTGAAGATAACTTAAAAGGTTGTCTTTACTCTAGAACAATAAAGCCTTATCTATAGCCTTGTTATTCGTTTGTAAAAGGGGGTCAGGAGTTTTATCCTAAACTCATTAACTGTAAAGCTGTAGTTTACCTACAAGTACTTCATATAACAGCTTTGCCAACATGGTAAAAAAAACTCAAGAAAACACGACCTGGGTAAAAGGTTTCTGGATTAACATCATAAAAATTGTATTTAAGTAATAAATAAGTAATACTTATACAAATAACTATTATGTGAGAGCTTTAAAGGAATTCTATGTCTTTATGAAAATCATCACATTTAAAAGTGAGAGAAATATAATGATAGAAGCCAGTAACAGCATGATGTTGACAGAAAAAAAAATATACATATAAGTCTTATCCAGCAAAATCTTGGAATCTGGTGTTCCTGATTCAAGCCAGCACTTTATTCTACGTTTAAGGGAGACCAGATACAATAATCCAGCCTGTTGTGGTCACACCGGATTACTCTAACTAATGTCTGTAACAACAGACATTGGAAGAAAACAGCATAATGCTGAAAGAACATTCAATCGGAGGGAGTCTGGTCTCTCCTCCAAAACAGTCGGCAACCCCTCTCACCCAGACACTGTGTAACCTAGTAAAAGTGGAATGGCTAAGTGAATACCTATTTGAAAATCAGCACTCATATTAGAATATTATGAAGGGATATATAGGAAATTGTTTTTTCCAATCACATGAATTCTCATATTTAATGGTTCGTAATCAAGACAGTTCTTAACAGTATAACTTTTTAATTTGAAATGTCACTAAAATTTCTGGGAAGAAAACAAGTCCAGTTTATATTTTCTTTTTTAAAACATGTCTTGTATAGGTGATAAAGTCATTGAGATTGGGGCAAACTGGATCCATGGACCCTCTGAGGGGAACCCAGTGTTTTGTTTAGCTCGCCAGTATGGGCTCCTAGACCCAGAGGCCCTGACCCCCGAGAACCAGGCCTTGGACACTGGAGGACATCTGCCCTGGGTTTCCAACATATTCAGCAGTTCAGGTAGTCAACAATCTGATTTGGTATGAAAGTTCGTAAGATTAAACAAACTGCACGTTGTCAAATATGTATTTTATTGTTGCTGTATCAAAATGAAAAATGAAAAATCTGCGACTATATGCTGGTGCGTTTGTGCACCAAGCATCAAACATTTAAGAAAGTTTTTGTGCTTATGCAGGTCGGAAGCTGAATGTCGAGGACATCTCTCCAGCTGCTGAGTTATTTACTGAGCTGCTTGGTGAAAGTTCAGAGTTTCAGAATCAAAAAGGCGAGCCCTATCCCTGTGTGGGAGATTTCATACGCTCAGAGGTTTGTTTCTTTTATTAACCTAAAAAGAAAAATAACTGTTCATTTGAGACGTTCTTGCTACTGCTGAGATGATTTGTTGTTTTGCTGCTGTCTGTATGGAGGTGAGACAACGAGCTGCAGAGAGATGGAAAGACTTGGACTCAGCCACCAGATCACTGCAGCTGTGTGCGATCAGTAGCATGTTGAAGAGAGAGTGCTGTATTAATGGGGCCCACAGCTTGGATGAGGTGGGTCTGGGGGCCTTTGGCCAATACAAGATCCTGCCTGGCTTGGACTGTACGTTCCCAGGGTGCGTTCATTTATTGATATGTTTATATTATATATATATCTCCAGCACTGATCCAGATTGAAGTCATTTAGGTCACAGAGCTCAGGGAGAGTGTTGGGAAAATATAGAGAATATGTGAGGAAAAATCTGATGCTTATGTTCAGAGCTACATTTAACAATATCTTAATATTATCTTGCCCTTTGTTTCATGTCTTATTTATAACCACAGTAACAACAAAGCCAATGATATCAAAGCCAGAATATCTGGTCACCATTATTTCTTATGTTAACTCTGCTTTAATGCCTGAATTTATTTGTATAACAATTCAGAAACATTAAATCAAAAACAATTAGACCCAGAAACAGTTATTTTCTTAATACAAGATGGCTCTAAACATCCCTGATGAAAATAAAAAAATAAAACCTCCAGCCAACTTCATGAGCTGCACACCATGCCACTTTCTATTCACTTATGTTCTTTTTTTTTACATTTTAAAGTCTCCTCTAAAGAAGCTTGCCTCTTTGTCTTTTTATGTAAGGGTTTTTTAACTTATGTCTGTATATTGTATATGCAGTTAGAGCCGGTGTTTTAGAAAAATGTCATTATGGTGAGATAATAACAATAAAAACTGATTTTGGAAAAGACCAGAAAACAAATACCAGTTTTGATTTTGCTATTGCTATTTAATAAAAAGAGGGGGAGTGATTCTCTAATCTAAATTTAATTCAGTAAAACATACTTTGTTAATTCTTAAGGGAAATTATATAAATAATAAATATAAAAATAAACAATCTTGCCATTAAAAATCATTTTATTCTTTCAGACAGTTTACCAAGTCTATATGAGCCAAGATTCATGTGGCGCTCATGAGCTGGATTTAGGTTTCAGTCTTACCTCTAGGTGGCGCCAAATTGCTGCTAGGCAAGGCAAGTTCATACAGTATTTATAGCCCATTTCAGCAGCAAAAGAAGTCAGTGCTGCACTTAGACAAAACATAAAAGACTAAAAGCACAAAGGAAAGTACATTAGAGGTGTACAATAAAGGAAAAAAAAAACAAACTTATGCAAAGTTTGCCTCTAAATTGGCTCAAAACTTGTATTAACTTTATTTAGTCAAATAAATTGCCTCAAAGTGAGGGTACAATTAAAATTAGGATTATTAAAACTTTTTGGAATCAATTTTTGTCCCTTATTTAGCAGGTGTGTTGATAACATTAACTTTTATCTTTATGTATTTTAATGGCCGATGAGCCAGAAACTTGTTGATTTGCAGTTTATCCATTCAGTTAATTTTTTTTTTCTTTTGCTCTTTTTTTTCCTTGTCTGTTAAGTGGTTATGAAGGTCTCATTACTAACCTGATGGCAGAGCTCCCTGATGGTTTAGTGAGCTATAACCGACCTGTGCGGTGCCTCCACTGGAGCAACACTGAGGAGAAACAAGACTCAGTAACGGTGGAGTGTGAGGATGGAGAAAGGATTGTGGCAGATCATGTTATTGTAACAGTGCCTTTAGGTATTTGCAATTAAAAATAAACCTTATGTATTTCTGTAAAGCAGTGTTGGCTTATAAACAACTATAATTTCTTTTGTAGTCCCACACAGATTCATTCTTCAATCCTAGCAGGACATAAAATGGCTTTAATCAGTTCTTCAGGGTTTCTGCTGAATACTACTGTTTTGTTAGGATACCTAAAGAGACACCATTCCAGCCTGTTCCAGCCTCCGCTCCCCCTTCACAAGCTGCACTCCATCCAGAGGCTGGGGTTTGGAACCAACAACAAAATATTTGTGGAGTTTGACGCGCCGTGGTGGGACGCTGACTGTGATGCCATTCAGCTGGTTTGGGAGGATGAGGTGAGACAATCGGCTGCACAACTTCTGCATCAGATAGTATTCAGAGGGATTTCTTCCCAGTAAAATCATCCTTGTTGTATTTTATTGTCTGTTTTGGATCAGGATGAACTGGTGGATCAGGTGCCTGATGTCCAAAGATCCTGGATAAAGAAGCTTTTTGGCTTCACAGTGGCAAAACCCATTGAGAGGTCTGCTTAGATGAATCTCTCACAAATCCTGATCAGTTTAGGTTAAATTTCACAGTTGGAATTACCTGTGTTTTCTTGTTCTGTTTTTCAGGTATGGGCACCTTGTCTGCGGCTGGATCGCAGGGCATGAGTCTGAGTATATGGAGACGCTGTCTGAGCAAGAGGTCACACTTGCTATCACACAGCTTATCCGCAGATTCACTGGTAAGTTTTATCATCTCTCTTTATTTTTGCAATCCTATTTTTCTTGTGTTTTTATGATAAACAACTCAGCCTCTTATCACTGTAAACAGTTTCAGTTGCCAATTTATTTCATGATGTTTTGGTTCTAATGTTTGCCATCAGGGAATCCCTCCATCACTCCACGGAGAGTCCTGCGCTCACGCTGGTTCCACGACCCCTGGACAAACGGATCCTACAGCCACCTGGCAACGGGCTGCTCAGAGCAGGACCTGGAGAACATGATGGAGCCTCTTCCACAGAAAGGATTGAAAGCTCGAGTATGTTAATGTATATGTGCATTAATGGTTCACTATCTGACATGTGGGATCCAATGTTCTGATATTCAGAATCCCTAAAAACTGGGAAAAAAATCCCTCCATCCTACTCAAAGGTTTTTGCAGGTTCACAAATAAAAGCTGCATCAATGTAGAAGCATGTCCTATAAATATATCACCATGATTTCAATTATATTCTGTACTTGTTGCTCTGCTTGTTAGCAGGTAAATATAAATTATTTGTACTCTACTTCTGATTTTTTTTTTTTTTGCATTTAATTTTTCTATAAAGTGTTTTTATGTTATTTCCTCATAAGTGTAATATTTAGAGTTTAATGGGGGGTTGTAACTTTTTTATCTTCTTTCAAGCCCCTGCAGGTGTTGTTCGCTGGGGAGGCAACACACCTCTGCTACTTTTCCACCGTCCATGGAGCGCTTCTCACTGGGTGGAGAGAAGCTGACCGACTCGTCTCCCACTACTCTTCCAGTCATCCCTCTGAGCGCCCCACATCCAAGCTTTAAAACAGCCATTAAAAAGATGAAGTAATATGAGCCTTACTGCTAAATGACATTAATTACAAAGAATGTTGTGGAGAATAACTTTAACAGTGAAAATTATTATTTTTTCAAATGACTCAATTCAGGTAACTAGAGATGAGGAAATGCTTGGCTGAACTAGTGGATCATGCAGTAATGCATACATTGCTGTGCTTGCAGCTTTTAAAATATTTTTAGTTCTTTTCTTTCTGTGACCGATTTCACAAAATTAAACCCATACAGACGGATTACACACAGACTGATGTTTTCAAGCCTTTGTTTCCGAGTTATTTGTAATTAATTTTTTTACTTACTGCTTATGAAGAAATTACATTTTGGAATTAGAATATTAGATTTGACCAATTAAAAAAACCATGTGTGATGCAGAAATTTGTGTGTAATACCTGCTTAAAGTTTAAAAAGTACTTTCAGCCTGACAAGCCTCATCAGAAGGCATTCTCCAAATAAACTGAGACTCACCTGAACACCAAATATGTAGTGCTGAAAATGAATCACTTTGTTTTTCTGTTTGTATTTTTACTGTTTATAATCTGACTGTAATTTACTGAATAAATCCTACGTTTGTCATTTTTACATCTTTTTTATTTGGACTATAGTATCGGCGAAGGGACACATTTTGTTCTGCAGTTGTCTATGAAAAACTTTTTTTTTACCTGCATTTCTAAAGATCCCAGAAAAAAAATTTGTTTTGGAAGCATATCAGTATAATTAATAGAATTAGTAATTTATAGTAATAATAATAATAATCTAGATTCAACATATATTTTGTAAAATGTTTTTTCATTCACTCTGCACTTCCATATAATTTAATGTTTTCCACAAAAAAGCTCAGACATTTCTAACAAAACTATTCGTTCATTTAAGTTTTTCATTCATACTGACAGTAACTTCTCATTCATAGGGTTCTCCGCTGCAGATCTTTTTGTCCATCCGAAGTAGGTACAGCACCCGAAAATTACAGCACTGCCTAATCATAACAGAATTACAAGTAGCTTTAAAAAATAAATGTATATATATATATATATATATATATATACTATATAGATCTATGTCATATAGATATAGATTTATATAGATATCTATAGACAGATATTTTTATGACATTGAAAGCTCAGTAAATAGTACCGATGCAATTTAGGGTGAAATATGTTCTATATTCATTGATGTATCGATGAAACTTCATAAAAATAAAAGAAATATTTCTCAGGTAACGGTTTTAAAGAAGTACGGTTGGGGTATTCCTAAGAATAATTTTGTTGTTGTGTTACTCAAGTAATTATAGTTACCACGCACTCACCTCTGCTAAACATGTTTTGTTTATTCTTTCTACTTTACAGTAGCTTTCTGAAATGCATACATCCGGCAATACCCATACAACGGCTTGTTAGACAAGAAAATTACTTCTTTTTTTTTTTATAAAAAAAATAAAAGAAAGGAAAATAACGTTAAGACACAGGGGGCCTTCTCTCTCAAGAGAAAATGCTCTTTGTCTATAAGCCTCCAGAGGGCGCTGCTGTGTAACCCGTGAGATAACCATTATGTGATGTCATTGGAACGCTGCGGAACTAATGTGTTCTGGGGTTATTTTCTAGTCGGTACGTAAATACACAAGTACATAGAAAGTGTTTGGGTTTTTTTCACCCCCTTAGTAAAAACTATCGCATACATGAATCCCCAGAAGTTAGATTGAACTGTATTTTTGTTGTGATGAGACTGTACCAGGCCCTCAGGAATGTCGACAAGTTTAGGACTGTGTTCGACTTTGGAGGTCGAGATGTGGCTCACTGGTTCCCAGGACACATGGCAAAAGGTGACATATCAAGACTCGAGGATAAATATATATTTTTTTGAATGATTGCTAAAGGTTATGATTATTGCAGGGCTGAAGCAGATGAAAGCCAACCTCAAGAATGTGGACTGCATCATAGAAATCCATGATGCCAGAATATCCTTTATTCTGACGCCTTTACCTTAACTTAAATTAAACCTAATTATGTCTTTGCCATTAGATTTGTCATTATTCTACAATGTTAGTAGGCTTATTTATTATACATAAATATGAGGATTTTTTTTTCCTTGTGCAGGGTTTTTATGAAAAAAATCTGTACAGTTTAACTACATATTTATAAAATTAGTACAATGATTTATTTAATGTTCTAAATGAAATAGGCATGACTTCAAATTCCTGTAATCAACTATTTACGGAAGAGAATTAGGGCCTCTGGAAAAACACAAAAATAGTTAACTGGTTATTTTATTTAAGTTTCATAAGGCAAAAAATTCAGAATTCTGACTTTTATGTCAAAATTCTGACTTAAATCTCAGAAAAATCAGTAAACTTTTTTTTTTCCAAGTGGCCCTATTTTATTTTATTTTTTTCTAGTGGCCCCCTCTGTAACTATGAAATAATTGCTGTCATAATTTTCTTTCATAAAACACACAATTATTGTTTTTGGCAACATTCATTGCTCATAAATTGATACATTTAGCTTTGGATTTTAGTGACTGTATTTCATGGCTTTAAAGGACAGTGGGATGATTGTTAATCATTCTACTAAAGCTGACATTGTTACATTTTGTGGTACCACTAGATCGCAGTTTAAGTGCAAGTCTTTAGTACATTTTATCATTGGTGTTTTCATATATAGTCAGGCCCTAATGGAAACGTAGAAATCTGAATGTATTAATAAACTTTATCTCATAAAAACAAGAAACTAAGCTACACCATTTATATAGATTATATGTCCTTTCCATAGTCATTGACTAAGTTTACTTTAAAAAAAAAAAAGTTTTCTTAATAGTAAGCAAATCCCTTTGTCTGGAAGAAACCCCATATTTCAGGACACATTAAATGTCAGACCTCATCTTCTTGTTCTAAACAAGATGGATCTTGCTGATCTATCCTACAAGCAGGTAAAAGGTCTTGCTTACATATATATATTATTTTATGTTTGTATATATATATATCTATATACATATAGATATATATATAAATTAAACCACACACTATTGTTTTGCATTAAAACTACAGAAAGTCCTGAAGAAACTAGAAAAAGATGGAGTGAGTAATGTTATTTTCACAGACTGCTTGAAGCAACGAGACGACAACATCAAAAAGGTATACACCGTCTTCACTGTTAACAAATTACATAGTGATTTTAAATGAAAGTATGAAGTTTTATTTTTCCCCGTCTTATTTTCTTTTAGCTGGTGCCAATGGTGTTGGAAATAATGGAGACCAGTCCCCGTTTTAACAGAGAAGAGGTAGACCTACTTTGTTAAATCTGTACTTGTTTGAAGTTGATTTAATTCTACTGTAGTAGTGCAAAATAGCAATGTGGGAATATAAAATTATTTTCAGAAGTGATTACCTGAAAAAACGCTTCAAATTTGGTACTGAAATTACAATAAAATGCAGCTGATTTTTTCGGCATTTCACAAATCCTGCCCACGTGGCAAAGAGGTGAGAAGAAAGCCATTGTTGAAGCACATCTAGAAGAGGTCTTGTTTAAGACACGAGTTATACTGTAAGCTCAGAAAACACATTTATATCCAGTCAGATGAGACCACAATGAAACAGAGCGCCATCCAAAAGGCAGAATATGACAGGAAGCTACACATTGTACTCTTAACACACTGTTATAAAGAGTGCTGGCAGCATCGCTTTGCAGTTATTCTTTTCTTTAGCAGTATCAGGGAAGTCGGTCGAAGGATATTGGAAGATGGATGGAGCTAAATACATGGAAGTCCTGGAAGAAAGATATGTTAGGGTCTGTTAAAGACCATAGACTGGGGCAGAGGTTCAACTTTCAGCAGGACGACCAGAGAGAGCTACAAAGGAGCATATTTATATTTATATTTAAGCTCCATATATATGGAGTATATGTATATTTAAGCAGTTTGATGTGTTAGAGTGTTCTTGTCAAAGTAATCCACTTGAGAATATGATGTGAATGAATTAACATTCAAGAGCACTTCCTCTATTAGCTGTGATTGAGTTTGGTTTTTATCTTGTAGGGGATTTAAAAAACAGCATTTGATTTTCCTTACGCTTGTGATGCATTTTAAGTAATCACTCAAAAAAATGTAATATTTTATTTCTGGCACAATGTGGAAACATTTGAGGGGTTTTGATGTTTTTACTAAGCACTGTAAGCTCAGATTCTCTCTGTATCTAAACCCGCTCAGGTAACCTCTCACATCCCTTATCTCACAAAATACATAGGAGCAAATCTATGTGACAGCATATTTTACAATATTGCATAATTCAGAAATATTATACAGAATTCATCCTTCTTTATTCGGTAATTGTTTGAGTTGTTGAGGGATTTCCCTTTGACTTTCTTTTTGCAACACTTTCAGAATAGAGATTATTGCCTGATGGTGATTGGAGTCCCCAATGTAGGGAAGTCATCACTTATTAACTCGCTGAGAAGAACAAATTTGAAAAAAGGTGATAAATTTTACTTGGTTAATTATAAGATTGTGATATATAGCCTCCGTAACACTGAATGGTGTGATTTTTATACAAATTTCAGGCCGTGCTTCCCGAGTCGGTGGGGAGCCAGGGATAACTAGAGCTGTCTTGACTAAAATCCAGGTGTCTGAACCCATTTATTTTTGTGAGTCCATTGTCTTTGTGCATGCAAACCTGTGCAGTTTAAACAAGCCATTGTTCTCAGGTGTCAGAGAGACCATTGATGTACCTGCTGGACACCCCCGGTGTATTACCTCCTAAGATCGAGAACGTGGAAACTGGCATGAAGTTGGCTCTCTGTGGTGAGCTGTTAACGTCCAATATAAGAGTTAGTGGGAAATCTGTTCAATTTTCTTTGTAAGAGATTTTATGGCAGATTTTCTCCCTCAGGAACTATTCTGGACCATTTAGTGGGTGAAGATATTATCGCAGACTACCTGCTCTTTTCTTTGAATAGGCTTCGAAAGTTTGGGTATAAATTTGACTTTTCATTTTTTGAATACTTAACTGCAAGTGGAATTCTCTGATGTGTTTATCTCTTACCTTTAATGTTCTTAACTATTTGGGTGTTTGGCTACAGGTACGTGGAAAAATATGACCTCTCAGAGCCAAGTGATGACATCCAGCATGTCCTTAAACGCATCGCTGTGAAACTCGGAAAGACTCAGCGAGTCAAAGCCATCACTGGAGTTGGTGAGAAGGAGAGTCCTACAGGCCAACCTAGCTTGTGCAGTTTCTAATATACAGATTAGATTCGGGTAATTTTGTTATCTACACAGTAAGGTTCTAAGATAATAAAATATATTTGCCAGCACCAGGAGGACACAAAGATAACATAAAGGTATTAGGTCCGTTATAGTTCTAATACTTGTGATATTTTCTGGCTTTTTAAAAAGTTTTTCTATGAAGAATCAAAATCAAAATTGTGCTGCCACTTGAGGACGAGAAATGTATATTTTGATCTTCCTCTCTTTTAAATGTGAGGCAGTTCTAAGACAAGGCTTCCACGCACCCCCCCCCAAATATGACAATCAGTGTACAATTATGGAGAACTGCCCACCGAGTTCATATGCTTTATAAAAATCGCTCGTTAAGGAATTCTGTGTATTAATTCAGCCTTAACCTCCTTACAGAGGTACACGTAAATTAATGATATGTTTCATTTTATTATAGCAGCATGTTTTGCCACTGAAAGTCATTTTTTTAACTTCTTTCATTTGAGTATTTATATCCTGTTTGCAGCATAGCTCTGAATATATTGTCTAGTTTTGCCAACAGGAGAAAAGCTCTCTTCATTCTGAAACATTTTAGAGAATGTTGGAGCAGATTGAGTGATGGATCATTATTCTGTGTACAGTTCTTCTAACCTAATCAGAGACTGTCATTGCAGAAGGTTAATTTGATGTCATGTAAACTATTTCTCCTCCTGACCGGGTCGTTTTGAAACATTATTATGCTGAAGAACCAGTGAAAACCCATTTTTGATTTTCTAGCAGCTACCCTTAGATTTCCCATTGCAGTAGTTTAGGTGTATTATTAAGCAGTTTCCCTCGGATCTGAGGAAGAGAAACGTGCCCACAGCATCAGAGATCCTCTACCATGCTTGGCAATGGTCATAAGATTCTCATTTTTAGTCAATTTTCTTTTAAGCCAAACCAGGAGTGTTCTTCCAACAAAGCTTAGAGACTCATCTTAAGAAAAGAAAAGATAAAGTTCCAGCTTTATTACATCTGAGCTAAAAATCAAACTTATTTGCTAACTAAATAATTCTAATTAAAGGTGGAAGTATTGCAGATTTTCAGTCAGATTAAGCTTGTTTCTACATATATTTACATTTTAAAAAACACCCACAGAGAAATGGCATGACACTCTTCACTACACATTTACCAATTTTATGATTTTATAAAAATACTGAACATAATTAGCTCTTTTTCTTTCTTTTTCTTTTAGGAAACATCACTGTCACCATTCCAAACTACACAGCAGCAGCATACAATTTCATCAGAGCTTTTAGGAAAGGAGAATTGGGACAAGTAATGCTGGACTAGTCTTAAATTTTTTGATTTTTTTCACTACTTAAATGTCAACAAAAGAGAATAGTTTATGTCTCATCTGATACAAGGCAGATGTCTGCTTCCCCATATTGTGTATAAATAAAACTATTTAACAGAAACAATCTGAGAAGTTATCTTTGTAAGACAGAAAAGAGGATGTCGGTATGATTCAAACTGTTTATTTATTTGCAGAAAGAGTGATACAAATCCTTGTATTTGATATGTACACGTGTTGCAGACTATATTAGAGTGCACTTATAGCGATGGAACAGTCTTTTGCTCCTGAGAGAGATACTTGGGAAGGATGGACACAAGAGGAAAATGGGAAAAAGGAGTAATGAAGAGGACATCTGCTTGATTATATTTGTGATGCATCTCAAACCAACGATAAAGGAAAGTTGTAAAGGGAAATGTCTTGTCTAGGACATAAATTATTCAAAACACCTATATTTTTGTGGATATAATAGTTGTGCAACAAACCTTAAAAAAAAGCAAAGGTTCTCATTCAGTAAGAGCGATTTAATTTTAGACCGGATTATGCTGGTTCCCACTTGATTTCAGTTTGTTATTCATGTGCCACCAAGAGGTTTTATCATTGGATCAAAGTCTGCACACCCCATAAAACTGTAGGTGAGGTGTAGAGCACTTAACACAGTCTGAGTTGACTTTGCATTTTTCTAGTGCTATATAAAATGTTTTGTAAGCAAAAATAAAATGGCAGTATAGTAATAACTGTAGGAAAACAGTTATATTTGGCTCTCAGTTATAGAACATTTTGCATGGTTCACTCCTTACAAGATAAACTGTGTGAGGGAATGCTTGTTTCCACTGGTATAAAATGACAGTAGTGTATTTTTTTACTGAGTCCTTCCACTTTGGGCTTATGATCAGGAATGTATCATAAAATAAGGGTTTTATTTTTACAGTATACAGTCCAACGCCAGTCCATACTTTGTGGAAAATGTTGCAATAATAACATGAACAACATTGGAGAGAAATGATCCGTTCTGAGTTGAGCTTGACATCAGTGCATCAAAGTAATTGGTCCTGTTGTAGTAATCCAGCTGCTCATCGGAGCTGTCCGTGTTGCTGCGGCGGTAGGCGGACGCGTACCATTTGTCCGCAGTTAAAGCCACCGCGGCTCCGGCCGCAGCAGCGCTCGCCACCCTCACCGGAGACGATCGTCCAGCGACCCTGAAGCGAGAGCGCGTCCCACCGTAGGCTCCTCCTCCCCGGTAGGTGCCTCCCGTGGAGCTGCGCGAGGGGGATCCACGAGAGGAGCCCCGGGAGCCTCCACGACCTCCTTTAGAGAGCGCAGGCTCACAGAGGAAGGCGGAGATCAGCAGGCAGGTCCAGCATGCTGCGACCAGCTGCTTCATTCCTGACATCTGTGCAAGAAAAAATGGAGTGAGATGATGAAAAAACCAGGACTCAGGGTGGATCCGTGATGATCAGAGGTGCTGTGAAGCTAAATATACCTGATCAACAAAGAAAATGAGCATGCATAACACCTGACACATGCAATAACAGTCCTAGTGGGGGATTATAAAATGATAATTAAAAAATGCAGACAGTCTTTCTGATAATAGGCCTCCATTTAGAATAAATGCGCTTTTACGTCCATTTTAACCTATTTTCTTTGAGTGTTTAGTGCATTTGGTAAAAAACAAATGAATAAATAAAAATTTAGATTACAAGTGTGTCGTTTGTTAAATATAATTCAAATGGACGGATGTATCACCTATGATGCGCGCCCCTCTCCTAAATTAGCCTAGATGAGCTTCTCTCACAGGGACGGTTTATATTTAAAATGAATGCAGCCACATGCAGGGAAATAATGCATATAATAATAATAATAATATATATAAGGCTTACCTTATCGCTTATATCCTTGCTGATGTGGCCCACGGAGAAAGAGCGGATTGTCGTGGATGGAGAGGCGCGTCTCCCCAGACGAAGCCGTGAACGCGCGGCGCGCTCATCCACACACGCATTAACATGTTTTATCTCTTTGTGTATTTCATTAACCCTTAATCCTATTCAAAGCTGATTTTTTATTTATTTTTTTAAGCAATAGCATTAAAATACATTTATTTAGGTTACCTACCGTGGGGAAATTTAGTTGTATCTGAAGCAAGAAGGAAAAACCTTTGTATAGCAAACTGTAAAGTTATTATGATTGTGTACTCAGATTAAAGGAACTGTGCAATTTAGCTGGATTGTTTGAAGATGAATAAACGCTTATGTAAAATTCAAACTGCGACAGATTATTTACAAAATACAATAAGATGGAAATAGCATTATAACTCATGGAGCTTGTTGATAGAAATAAAGAAGAAACAAGGATCTGCCTTAATAATAATTTGTACTTCAAAGATGCAGTCTGTCAGTTAAATATCTCTCAGGTTCTGGTGGAACAGTCTCATAATAATACAGTAATAATAATTAAACTTTATTGATCTCAGACTGGAGAAACATTTTCCAACAATAATTCTAAAAAAAGCTATAGTCTTTCCTTATATCATAGTATAAAGCTGGTCTTTTTGATAAGCTTATCTGTTCCCTCTTATGGAGGACCAATCCTGCCATAATTAAAAATAAATACAGAAATACATAAATGCTCCAAAAATAAATAAGCATGCAATAATTTGCCCTCAACAATACAATAAATAAATAAATGTAGGTAGAAATTAAATTATACAGTGACACATAAATGTATATCTCTTTTAATTAGCTTGTTTCTTTTTTCACCTTTGTAATAATTACCTTATTTATTTATTGTCTGTAATAATCTTCAACTTAATCCATTTATTACTTATTTTTAGTATTTACTTATGTGCATGATATAATATTTTGTCTGTATTATCCTTTCTTTGTATTTTTTTACCCTATTTATTTCTTCTATGCTATTTATTTCTGTCTGTCGTATTTACATTTCAGTCTGCATTTCTGCCTCATCATGCAAATAAATAAGGCAATTATAAGGTAATTAATTGTAAGGTAAATATTACAAAGGCAAATAAATAAAGAAGCTAATTAAAAGAGATATGCACTTTTATGTCTCACTGTAATATTTAGTTTCTACCTACATTTCTTTATTTATTTATTGTATTTTGGGGGGACAATTAATTGTATGCTTATTTATTTATTGAGCATCTATTTATTTCTGTATTTATTTTTGATTATGGCAGGATTGGTCTTCCATACTCTCTCAGCCGTAAATGTATTCTCCAACAAACTGCACCATGAAAGAAGTTTAAACGGCTGCATGCACTTCCGTCCAAAAGCACTAGGTGGCGGTAAAGTAATTTCCTTTAAACATACCACCACAATTATCAAACGACAAAGAAGACATTGCAAGAGGAAGGACTAGCTGACCAACCTGCTGCAAAGTTCAGTGTCTTTCCACAGCAATGGCGTTTTTGTGCAGAAACGTAGGATTAGTCCTGAAGTCCTCCAGAGCAGCGCCGGCTCTGCTGTCGGCTGCCCGCCTCTACAGCTCAGGTCTGTGGTCAGAAAACAGCCAGTGGTGCGAACATCTGGCCCCTACAGCACAATGTCAAGAGATCTGGGTGATCTCCAAGTTCGGAGCGCATAAAAGGCCCTTGAACCTTGCTGTTTAATATTATTAGATTTATTTGGACGAACCGCTCTGTTATTTTAAAAGCATATTTTAGAACTCCCGACTAATGTATCTAAAAAAAAAAAAAAAAAAAAAAAAAAAAAGGCTGCAGCTGTCAGAGCAGCATGGTTTGGATTTTTTGCTGAAATAAAACTTCAGATTTTTTTGCAAAAGTAATTTTTTGTTATGAAAACGGTTTTGAAATATAGATCTGGTCATTTATTCTTCATTTATTGTTTAAATAATCCTGAGGAGGCCCGAACCATGCAGATTTTTACTCTTTAGTGGACAGAAATCTAATATATCAAGTTGGATATTGATATAAATGCTCCTTCTTTACTCCTATTAAGTCGACTTTGAACATTTGTTTTAATTTTGTTTTTTTTTCTTACATTAACTTTATAATTTTACAACGTTTTATCTCTGAAACCCAAGTGACCAAACTGTGCCAGAGGTCAGGGAATGCTCCCATTCAGTTTTTAAAGGACTGATTGTTCTCCTTCTTGGCGGATAAACTGTCTGATTTTTCTTGGATTTGATTACTATACTTTAACTTATTAATCACCAGATGTTTAAGTAAGACTGTATTCATTATGTTTAGTTATCTGTTGTTGTTTTTACCAAATAAGCTGTTGGTAGGGGTGTAAATTCTCGGCCACCTTGTCTAGTTAATGGAAATATGGTAAAATAAAGGCAAACATGGTTTAACTTTGGGTCAGACGTGTTCTAGGTTGTCTTATCCCAGCTGGTTTCCTATTCACACAGGTGGTCAGTACGAGTATATTTTGGTGGAAAAGCGAGGCGTGCAGAATAATGTTGGCTTCATACAGCTGAATCGACCCAAAGCTCTCAACGCTCTCTGTGACGGCCTGATGAGGGAGGTGGGGAAGGCACTGGACGCCTTTGAGGACGATCCACACATTGGAGCTGTTGTCATCACTGGCAGCGAGAGAGCCTTTGCTGGTATGGAAGCAAACATTTTCTTCTTCGGGCAGGTCTCTTGGATAAACGTGATTATAACAATGCATGTCAGAGAAGTATGATGCTTTTTATATTCTGGCGGGGAGTGGCGGCCTACTGATTAGGGTATAGATCCCACAGACTGCCACTCTGGGTCTCTGAGCAAGACCCTTAACCCCCTGATTGCTCCCCGGGTGCCCCACGATGGCAGCCCACTGCTCCCCAAGGGGATGGGTTAAATGCAGTTAAATTTCTCCAATGTGAGTTTAATAATGTTCAGTTATTCTATTTTTATTGATTTCATTTTTCAGCTGGAGCTGATATTAAAGAGATGCAAAATCGAACCTTTCAAGAATGTTATGGTGGGAACTTTCTGGCTCATTGGAACAGAGTGTCCACAGTAAGAAAGCCTGTAATCGCAGCTGTTAATGGATTTGCTGTAAGTATCATGAACTTATTTGTTTCCTCCCTTTTCTTTCTCTCTCGAGAAGAATCTTGCATGTAAATGCCCCAAGACTTTAGAGACTTGTCAATAAAAGCAGACAACATCGTGTACTCAGACTTCATCTCCTCAGCCCCCCTTAGTATCTGGGTAAAGCTCAACCAGATATGGGAACCAAATACATCCCTTAATGAGGGCGCCATCAGAATCAGAATTTAGCTAAAATTTAATGCATATATTTTCTTTAATGTATGGATCTATATCAAAATAAGAACATTTTACATTCCTGTTGCTGCATTTATCAGTTTGCCTGAGTATTTTAAAAATTTTCTTTACAATTCATGTTTAGATGCTATAAAGCTGTTGTGTTTGTAAAGGTTTTCTTACCGAACCAAGTCTAATACTAATCAGTGCAAAGTAAACTACTAGACATTTTTTTATGAACTTTGATTCTTATAATATTTAATAAAGAACAGACCTTCAGGACCTAGAAGAGAGGAGCAGTTTTCTTTGATTCGATTGTATTCATTTTGGCAATGAGAAACAAAGTGGAGAAACCTGAGAGACTGAGACGTAGTTTCAGGGTCATAGAGGCCAATGTTATTCTGTTCATATACCAGCTTTTTGGATTATTGCATAATGGTACTCTAAAGTAGTTCATTTTTACACCTTCAAACCTGTAGATACACATTTATATTCAGTAGATATGTGTATTTGGGGGATTACAGCACATTCTGTACATTTCCAACCCAATCATTGCACTGTGCAGGTTCCACATACAGAGTGTGATGGTCTTCCCGTTGGTTCTGTTTCTATTGCAGCTGGGTGGAGGCTGTGAGCTGGCCATGATGTGTGACATCATTTATGCTGGAGAGAATGCCCAGTTTGGACAACCAGAAATCCTGCTGGGGACCATTCCTGGTAAGGACCTTTTTTTTTTTAATTCCTGGGCAGACATTACAGGCCTTTAGCTCTGACACTGTTTTCACCTGCAGGAGCGGGTGGCACCCAGCGCCTGACTCGGGCTGTTGGCAAATCCTTGGCAATGGAAATGGTACTAACAGGAGACAGGATTAACGCTCAGGAGGCCAAGCAGTCAGGTAATGGTAACAGTGTTTCATCACTGTAGTGTAAAGATGGACCAACCAGTATAAACTTTTGTTTGTTGGTTTTTTGGTGTCAAACATTTTTTTTAGAGTTTGATCACACAAATTTAATTTTTTTTACTAGTTGATTTTTGTAGCATTTTTTATACCATCTAGGTGTATTTTGTAAGCTGACATTTCCTTAATTTATTTATGAAATTAATTTTACAACATAAAAAAAAAGAAAAAGTAGAAATTATTGCCTGATTAAAAGCTGATTTACTGAGCAGTAGTAAAACCAATGATTGTGCAATTATGACATAAGTTTGTGATGTTAAAAGTTCTGAAAATCAAGGGAAAACTGTGAGGATCAGTTTTTGTTTGAATCAGAGGTATTTATGCTGACAATTTCAAATGGATAAACAGTTATAGTTTACAGTTAGTAATAAAAGTTATCACACCTCCAAATGTCAAGAACTAGTGTGTGAAGTAATATGGAGAACTTCAGAAATAAACAGTAAAAAACATGAAGGTGTCTCAGATATTTGCAAAAGAATGTGCTGAGATCAAAGGAAAAACCAATATAAGTATCAAAAATAAACCTTGAATGTTAATGCGTGCGTAAAAACAAATCGTTATAATTTCAGAGTTTACTAGAAGAAAAATTAAGTCATAAGGAGCAAATGTTTCAGGTTCTTTGATAGGAAATACCGTGTTAAACTAAACAGGAATTAAAGGATTATAAGATTTCTCCTGTTTAGGCATCAAAGGATGTGTTTCTTGTCTGATGGTTCCTTGAATATGCTCCTTGTTGATGCATTTACAAAATGAAAGAGCTGGTTATCTAACTGCAGCTGCCTGTGCTGAACAGGGAAATAAGTTTGATTTTTACCTGATAATCCAATCACCTGGCAGATCCACTGAAGGGAAAAATGGCTTATAGTTTCTGCTTCACGAAAAATGAAGCAAAGAAGGTAACACATAATTTCTAAACATTGTAGGCATTTTTTTTAAACTCTTACAATTTAATTTTTTTTAAGAAGCTGATATCTTTCAGTTAATAGGTGTTCTGCTTTAAAGTTTAACTCATCCCAAATCATTTTTTTTGCAGACAAACTGGATCTGTTGGCTTTATTTTAATGTTATTGTACAAGTTTTTATATTGTTAAATGAACTTACAGAGTTCTGTTCTTAAAATCACCTCATTGCTGCCCTCTTAGGATGGAATTGTGACTGTTATGTTTTCCTATTGGTTCAAATACTACTTGCTTTATTGATCATAGCCCTGCGTCATCGCTAAGTCAGCAACTGTTAAGGCTCAGACCCACTGGCCTCCCCAAAGGCTTCCTCAACCTCCAGGGTGAAGGATATAACAATCCCTCCCCCACCTCACCACTTGGGGTCTTTTTACCCCAACTGCTTTTGTGAGATTTTTCTATGGGTTTTTCTTTTACATTGGGATGAGTTGCACTTCAAGGAATTTTTTTTTATGAATCTAAATGACTTCCAGAGAAATTGCTGGTATCCTATGTGCTTCATGGTAAGCTACCATGTGTGATTTTGTGTGTTGTCAGGTTTGGTGAGTAAGGTTTATCCAGTGGACCAGCTTGTGTCTCAGGCTGTTCAATGTGGAGAGAAAATTGCAATAAATTCCAAACTGGTCTCAGCCATGGCTAAAGAAGCTGTAAATGCAGGTGCGTAGTGAGTGTTATTCTCATAATGTTCAGTTATCTACTTTTTCAGTTTTTGCTAATATACCCCTCTGTGCCGCTGCAGCTTTCGAACTGACTCTGGCTGAAGGGAATCGCTTGGAAAAGCGTTTGTTCCACGCTACCTTTGCAACGGTTAGTACAATAGTGTCTTTGGAGTCAGGTATGAATATTAACCTCGTCGCTCAGAGTCAACTAATTATTCTTAAATCGGATTTTCTTACAGGATGACCGTAAGGAGGGCATGACTGCATTTGTGGAGAAAAGAAAAGCCAATTTCAAGGATCAGTAGATTAGAAAAAAATCACCAATAATCAGGAGGTTTCTGGTATAAATTGATCTCTCCCTCACTAACGGTGCATTGTGTGGCGCTACAGTATGATCCTGGCTGTGGCAGAGCAAACAGGCGAAATAATGAGATGTAGCTGAAAATCACAGCCTTTTGGGGCAAAGTGATGAAATGAAATACTGTCTTGCATCAGGAGGTTGAAATGTAATGTGGATTCCATAATTGTTTCATAGTCTGTGTGTTCAGGAAGGATAACGACAGATGACTAGTTTGTTTTAATTTTGCCTTTTCACTTTTCAAATGTGTATAACATTTTGCAAATAAAAAAACAAAAAACAATCTAAACACTAATAACTCCAATGTTTTTTTTTTTCAAAAAATAATAAAAGCTATAGGTGATAAATTTATATGTTTACCTTATTTTTCTTAAGTATCATTTAAGCTGTGATAAGAAAACGATCATAAACTTCTGCAACATCTGCTCTAGACCACTAGATGGAGCTGTTGCAATCCCTTGGGCAGAAGTTGAATTTCAGTTCTCTGCTAAGGAAACAAGTAATAAGCAACATCTCATGAAAGTCCTATGAAAATATGAGTAAACAATCACATTAATGTTTAAAGTGCTGTGTCATTACTCTGAACTTTGAAAAATTGATTTTACTTGTAAAACTCAGAAAGCTTTTTTTTTCTCCTTTGAATGTAAAGATGCATTTAAACAGGATCTCCCAATGAAAATCAAAACCACAAACAGAAATGTCCTAAAGTAAAGTAGAAAACAACACAGAAGATATTTCGCTGCACTATTGACAAGCAAGCCTCTTTATAATAAAAGTTTAAAAGAAATGATTTGTCCTTCACATTTTCTTAATTCTATCTGTATGTGTTAGAAAATGTAACCCATGACCAGTTGTTCATAAACAGCATTACTAAGTAAGTAGTGTAAATCATGAGTAGCTAAAGTAAAATCAAGTTTCTTTCATAAGTTCACAGTCAGCTGTTCTATGTTAACTGTCATTATGTTCATACATTAATGTGTTTAAATATATAATTAAGTTAAGTAGAAGGAAATATTTATTTGAAAAAGATGCTCAAGAAACAAAGATTAAAGAAGACTTGAGAGGATTTTACAGTATAGCCAGTGAATGATTCTGGGGAGAACCACTGTGGTTGCTTCATGCTTATTGCTTGCTGCTTTTTTGTGTTCTTGAACTTTATAAATTTGCTTTTTTTTTATTTTTGGGCAGAACTTGGCACCCGTCTTCTCTCCAAGAACCAAGATCGGATTTAATATTTCTTGTTGATTTATTCCTGTTGCCTGGTCTGACCTGAACCCCATAGAGAATCTTTGAGGTTTTGTCAATTATTGGATAGGAGTTTACATAGCATTCATGGTCTATTTAATACCTGAGCAGAGCCACAGAGATTAATGTTTAAACTACATTGGTCTAAATTTCTTTTTTTATATAAATAATGAAATAAACTAACTCTTAAGTGTATTTGTGTGTACCTGCATGCTATACTTAATGTTGTAAATACGAAATCATTTACCAACTTGTGAACATTTGGCTGTTTCTAAACATTTTTGTTGCTTGAAGAGATCCTTTGCACAGTAACTGCAGCACTGATCCTTAAAGAGAACACCAGAACCAATTTGGTTAATGTTCGCTTTCTGTTGCTGCTCCAATCATCGGGAGGCATCTTTCCTCCCTTTGATCTTCACATGGCGGCGCCTCATATCCTCACAAGGAGGTGGTCTAATTGTTTTGGTGGGGAGGGTTATTACTATTATTCCGTATTCCCCCTGGATGTTGCTCACTTGTCAGCTCCTCTCACAAAACATTTAAACGGAACTAAAAAAAATCGTCTTCTCCCTCTGCAGGAAAGCACAAAAATCCACTGAGAGGAGCAAAAAAGGAGCCTCTCTTTGAGGCTGCCGAAAGGTCAAAATAATAAATGTAGACTCAAATGAGGCTCTCAGCACACACAAAGGGGGCAAAACGTAGCAATTTGGCAGCGCAGACTCTCATAGCGTGATAAACTCATTTAAAGAAGCCAAGATAAAGCAAGAGCAGCATGGGTCCATAGAGGGAGAAGGGACTCTCAGATTTGGCAGACAGGCCTGACTCCTGCACTGTTCCTTTTCTCTGCACAGCAGCCCCAAATCACCTCCCCCCAAAGTAACGTATATTTTGCAAAATAACACAGCAGCTGTGAGGCTTAGTAACATTGCTGTTTTGTTTTTTTTTTTACTTTTATTTTGTAAATGCTGAAATGATAAGCCACTGTGAAAAATGTTTAATACAACCCATAAAGCGACTTTATGTAAACATCAGACCTACAACGAGCTTAAGTGGAAAAAAAGATTAATTAATTAGCTGTGTATATAAGTGTGTACCCATGCAAGCATATATATCTATATATATATCTATATATATAGATATAGATATATATATATCTATATATATATATGCATAAACACCCATCTTGCTACCGAGCAACATCAAAACATTGCACACATTAACGAAAATCTTTCCTCATGTAAAAATTATTTCAAAACAGACACCATTTAAAGAGTTTTCTTTTTTTAATGCATTTGTAAGCTGTAAAATAAATGTATAGATTCATGAGAAAATAACAGCATTTTCAGGTTGCTTGTTAATGCATATAACCTGTCCCCTGTCACCCGAGAAAATTTAGTTATTAAAAAATAAGAAAATGCTTGTGTGCCATATGAGAGAACGGTAGTTAGAATTATTCCCTCAATTATACTTTGCCCTGGATCCTTATACAATCTTGAACTGGGTCTGTCCCTCCCTAAATGTGGTTTTCTTTTATGAACTTTGATCTTTTGAGTTGTTCTTGGACTCTAGATATAGAAAGGTTTTGATCAGATGCAATTTTCATGAGACAGACTTTCTGATTCAACCAACTATGAAAAAATTGAATGGAAAACTATCTTGTATTGCCAATTTGAAGTCAATTGCCCAGTGTTATTTAATATTGATAAAACAGTACAATTGGAAGATTGTTCAAAATTAAAAATATATTGCTATTATAGGAATATTTGATTAGTATTTGAGATTTTGCATCTGAATTAACAGTTTTCACACTTATTTAGCAGAATTTCTGAAGAATTTAGATTACCCTTTTCTGTATCTAATAAATAAACATCTGTCTGCTGAGTACAAGATATTTTTTTAAAGATAAGATTTATTTATTTGTTTTGCTTGTGGTTCATTTTCTGGCCAGCAGGGGCTTAGAAACTAAACTAAAGGCGGAAGTAATTGAAGGGAAATCCTCTCGGTTCACTTCAGTCATTCTGGTTCTGTACTGCTCGGATGGTAGGATGGTGGTTCTGAAAGGGATCCCCTCTGTTTTGTCCCCTGATCTGCTGTATGCTCTCGCCAAAATGGGCCACGGGGATGAACTGGGTATGATCCACAGCTCTATTCATATCCTCAGTGCTTGAGCGCTGTAGTCTGAACTGATATGCAACATGGAGCCATTTTATGTCAACACTACTGAACAGCTTTCATGTTTTACTTTCTGCAGTTCTTGCAGATGCAAATTTCCCTGCATCTTCTATTTGTGCATGTGGCCCTAAAGAGATAAGAGCTGATGGTAAAATTAAAAAAAATCAAGCCAGAGTATATAACAATTTCTTGCTCTAATTCTGTCTCATCCTGGTTCCAGGTTTGGGAATCCCACAGCTTTTAGATGCAATTTTAAAGCTGTTGCCCCTGGATACCTATGTCCCCAGCCCGGTACAGGATCCACACACGCATGTCAAAATTAGATGTTTTGTTATTATAGTGCCTTTTAATTTTTTTTTGTTTTTTTGTTGCAGCTTTATTCCAAATTGAGTTAATTAGATGTATCCTTCAAAACACTTATGCAAAATATTAACAACTGAAAAAAGTTTGAACAATGAGCTTTTGATCAGTGTTTACAGCCCTAATGTTGTCTTGAAAAGCCTGTATAAATTCTCAGTCATCCAGGTCCTGGCAGAAACTAAAAAACAGTTTTAAATCAGAGGCAACTTCAAATTTCATTTAGTTTTGTGTGTTTTTTTTAAGACCTTCAACACATATCCAGGAGACCTTTGTCAGTTATCTTGTCTCGCACTAGAGCAATGTGTAGTTGGAGTGCTGAGGTTTTTTTTAGCAACATTGGTGTCCATTCTCCATCCAGATCCAAATCAAAGACTTACCCGTTGTTCTCCTGGGTTGTTGAAATCTTTTATTGTGTATGGGTTATGTGTTTGGCCTTTTGAATCAGGATAAATAGGTTTGTGTAACTATTTTGGAATTAGCTCCAGGACCGAATACGTAGCCATACCACTGCAGCATTTCACACTCATCAAATTGTTGACCAATTAAGCAATGTTAGACAAAGAAGATCAAAGACCACACAGCATGTTCCATTACATATCATGCTGAAAAGCAGAACTGACCAATCAAGTTGTGGAAATAGCTGCAGGATGACAGTGGAACAAGGATGCACCTGAGTTAACTTTGAGTGTGTTTGAATGTTCTATCAATTTAGAGATATAACATTAATAAACTTCAGGAATATTTTAATTGAGTCCATTTGGAATAAGGCTGACACCTCAACAAAATGCAAAAAAAAAACAAAAAAACAGTCTCTTTAGTAATTCAACATAATATGTGTTGCCAACAGGCAGCGGTCATGGATCTGGTAGACAGTGACAAACAAAGATGTCTAGCTGTTCCTGTGTGGGAAACTTACTCACAACTCCTCAGCCAAGCAGGCTCTCAGGTATTAAAGACTATATAACTTAATGTGGATGGACAGAATGTTAAATAGCCAAGAGTTCTGATTTTCATTTACTTGCAGAGTCCTTTGGAGAAAGTGGAAAGATTTTCTTTTTACGAACGAGCCAAGAAGGCCTACGCAGTTGTGGCAACCGGGTATGTATCTGCTCAGCCTTAACTTAAACATACTGACAGGGGTTTCCTACCAGAGTCCAAAAAAGCACCCTGTATGTTATAGATCCTGAGTATTTTATCGGGTTATGCAAAAGTTTTCTAATGACCCAGTCATTGAATTTTAGTTTGATGAACAAGAAAACATTGTCTTCACAGTAGGTAGAATGTCTCGACAAGGGCTGCAAGTGAATATGGAAAAAAATAAAATAAATAAATGACCATTATCCATGGGTGTTCAGGAGCGCTGCATAAGTTCATGACTTGTCGGGTAATGATGATTATGAGGAAGGGTAAGGATTAGCCTGCAAACACAGAGAAGAGAAATCAGAGAAGTTTGTTACTGATTGCAGCTGGGACCACAGTTGCCACTTCCCTGCTTTGTTGATTAAGAAGAGAGAACTATTCTCCGGTCTTTTGTTTACCCAATGAAGAGTTAAACCACTCACACAACAGACAAAAACTGCTGTGGTCAGATGAGACAAAATACAAGCTGTTTGTAGAGAAATTCTGAGCAAGACCTCAAGCACACTATCCACACAGTCATGCATTGGTTGGTTGACTTTATCACATTGAAGGGTCCAATGAATACTGCAGTGTTTCAGAAGCTCTGAGAATCTTCTTTCCTGAGTCAGAATGGGAATAATTCAAGGTGATGCATACGTCTTCCATTGGATAATAGTGTGAAATGTGAAGCCATAACAAAGAAGTAGCACATTTTGGTCATAGAGTGGTCGAGCCTTCCTCCTGACCGTAGTTCAGCAGAAACTTTGTGGAAGAATATGAATTTAAAATATTTGGTGCACTGAAGATGGATGGACAAACTTCAATCATTTTTCCTCACAATAAAACAAAGAAAACTGGTAATTACTTGTTGAGTCTTTAACAGCACCTGAGTATGTGGCATGAACCAAACTCATAGCTATGCAATCCAACAGATTCAACTGGTAGCCTTACAATGCAACTATATTGAGATACATGCAGAATATGTGCAAATGCTTTTAAATCTTCAACACATTTACATCATTTACCATGTTGAAACAGTAAAAAATATCTTCAACAAGAGAACGTGAACATTTTAAATTAATGATCTGTGGTTTAGCTCGGTGTTCTAGGGACCCACAATCAAAAGCTTTTTTTTAAGATTATGGTCTTCACTCTTTGAATTGAAAAGCTACACATCAGTCACTTCATGTTTTTTTTAAACAGTGAGTTTGATATTAACTTTTTTTTTATCCCCAGGGAAACTGCTCTGTATGGAAACCTAATATTGAAGAAGGGAGTTATTCCTGCTGAGCTGCTGCATTGAAGCCAAACTACTTTTGACAGATGTTTTAATTTTGTATCTTTTTTGAGGAATCTAAGTCAAACATGTAATTACTTTCTGTTAAAAATGGTTAAAATAAGGAATCCACAGTGATCACAGAAATGACTTGCATCTGACAAAAGTGATAAGAAAAAAAAAATTATGAAAATTAATAAATGAAATGCCAGACATTGTTTTCCAATCGTGCTTTATTGAATGATTAAAAACAACTAAACACACAAAACAGGCCTGGACAAAGATGATATACTTTACTTAATAGTTTTTAGATGTTTTAAGGCAATAACTTCAGTCGAACAAGTCGGGTAAGTGTCAATAACATTCTGCATCTCTCAGCAGGTATCTTGTCCCACACCTGATGAGCAAACTGCACATGTTGTCTCAGGTTTGAAGGGTGCCTGTTCTAGACGCCATGTTTCAGCTCCTTCCACAGATGCTCAATAGAATTAAAGTAATTGCTCATAGATGGCCACTTCAGAATAATCCAATGTTTTCCTTTTAATCATTCCTGGCTGTTTTAGGTGTGTGTTTTGGGTCATTATCCAGTTGCAGGACCCATGACCTGCCACTGAAACCAAGCTCATTTCTCTCTATACACCATTCATAGTCTTTGGTTCTCATTGTACCCTGCAGAGACTCCAGTCATCCTGTTCAAGATGAAGCAAAGCAGCCCCAGATCATAACAGAACCTCCTCCATGTTTCACAGTACAGATAAAAAGAGTAGGGATTGATTTGCTACATTTTTGCGACTGTGACCATGGAACTTAAAATGTTATCTCATCTGGATATTTTCTCCGAAGTTTTTGTGGCCTGTCCACTTTGGCTCAAACAACATTGGAATGTGCGATCTGATACTGATGTCCTTGAGCTTGAAGTCCACCTCTAATCTCTTAAAAAAAATGTATGCTGGGCACTTTTGTTACCATTTTAATTCCCGTTCTCTTTGATTTATCATCAGTTTGCGGCCACATCCAGGGACGTTAGCTGCAGTCCCATGGAATTTAAATTTCAGAATATGTGCAACTGTAGTCACAGAAACATTGAGATGCTTGGAGATTATCTTGTGGCCTTTACCTTTAACATGCTTGTCTATCATTTTCTTTCTAATCTCCTGAGCTTTCATTAAGAGATTTCTTTCTAATCTCTTTCCTTTGCTTCCTCTGGTTCATGTTGAGTGTGGTACGGCCCATGTCGCCAAACAGCACAGTGACTGCTTGTAGCCCAATATATAGGCCCACTGACCAATCACAAGATAGTCGACAGTTGTGATGCAAATTTTTTTTTGTCCAGGCTTGTCTCATTAGTTTATTTTTTTTAATCATTTCATCAAAGCATGATTGAAAAGCAATGCCTATTTTTCCATTTCCATAGAATCTTTATTTAATATCACTTTTGTCAGATTCAAGTTATTTCTGTGACCATTATGGTTTTTCTTTCATTAAACCAACAATTTAGTTAACATGGGAAGATCATTTTGATGTATTCTACTTTAATCAATGTAACAAAAATGGTCTGTTTGCTTTTCATGTTTCAAATCTGATCTTGTCTTAACCCTGTGCCTTTCTCATTTTCCTCTTTAAATAAAACTGTAAGCCTTTAATGACTGTGTAAAAAAACATCTCAACAGGAAAGACAAAATAGACCAATACTAACACATAGGTGTTACTGTAAATTGTTTAATAGAATCAAATTACTCTGATCCACATGTATGTATTGCATCTGACATGTTTGCAATAAATGTTTAATCCTGAATCACTGGTGGTAGAGTCCATCCAGATCCTCCTCTGGCTTCAAGTACTTTCGTTGAGATGGCAAATCAACAGCAGCGCGAACCAGGCCTGGTT